TAGTGCTGCTATATAGCGCTATATAATAGGGACTTGTCTAGGTGTACTATAGCTACTATTTTCCCTATATAGCACTATGGTGGCTATGATAGCTATAAAAAGTAGCTAGGTTTTTCCTGATGTGTAAGAGTGATAAGATTATCTAGGTATGTCTGCAATGATATAGAAGAGAGATTATGGGGGTCGTTGTCGTCATGGGTACAACCAGAGACATTGTAGTCTCCTGATGGTTTGAGTAGTGCCGGGCTGTAGTGGCTACTTTGAGCCTTCAGTCGACCAGGAAGTCCGCAATATAGTCGGCAGCCAAACTTGCCGCTGTGTCCAACTAGTCCATTGAGATAGGCCATAGCTGGGCCATCTGCTGTGACAAGTGCTAGGAACAGTTTTGACATGAATAGAATGTTTCTTGAGGTGTCCCAGATACGTAGTCCTTCACATTGGATGGCAGAGAGATGATGTAGGCCTGGAAATATAAAGGAATCAATATTTTTTGGCTTGTTTGGTCCTGGTATGATCCCCCCTGGTAAAACATGTTTTTTCTTGTATCGTTTATCTGGCGAAAGGTCAAAGACTACCCAGATATAGATCCAACAGTTGGAGGCCTTTTTTTTCATATAGCTGAGCACCATCCATTGAGAACATTAGTACTGTATCACCAGCTTGTATCCAACTGTTACAATTGACATACCAGCACCTACTTACGCTTCATTTTTGTACTTTAACTTTTCATTTTCCAAGTCACATGACCAGTCATGTGACCATTTACTTTACTTTACATTTTCGACTTTTATAAGTCACGTGACACATCACCTGACCAAAGTCTAGACTCACCATGTGACAGGTCACATGCTAGACATCGGACTTTAAACTTTATTTGCAACTGTATAGTACACATGTACAAACAAACCTGTAGTAGTATATATACCCCAGGAGACTCCTCAGCGAGTCCTCCTGTTGTCTAGCACAACTAACTCACTGCAGCCTAAGGGGTAACCACTCCCCAACTTCCTCTTCTATATAGCGTGTTCCTGTGTGCGCCAGAGTAAATCACTCTTGGTTGTTACACCAACCATCTGCGACGGCATTGAGGTAGTCGCTTCCAGTGAAGAAGTCGTCATAGGAACTGAGGACTCCATCATTGAGACTGAGTTCTTTATTTAGTTCTTGAGTTTGTATCTCCCAGTACCTCATATTAGTTGCATTGTCTGAGTCTTGCCAAATAGCTTGTATTTGTGGGCCTATTGGCATTGTATGGAATTGCTGACAAGAAACTTTTCTCTTCCCCTTAGATTGCATGAGCATTGCTTCGTCGTATTGTGGTTGAAGACACATTGGGCATTTGTCCAAAGGGTCCGGTATATGCTATGCATGTATTGACACACATATCATGCACCAGTGACTCAACACCGCTCAACTCAGCCATACGGTGCTTGATTTGATAGTGTGACTGGATCCTATCTATGTTCTCAGGGTGCAATTGGTGGTAGGTGTCATGTACTTGATGCCTGTTTGGACGCATTGGTAGTTGCTAGAAAAAAATCGAGTGCAAATCGCTCAAATGGACTTTTGAGGTGACATGTTTCTTGCGGGAAGTTTTGCAGTCAATTGAGAGCCTCGGGATCAAGTTTCATATGGGGGTCTTCAAGATGAGCCTCTTTTAAGGCGTTAACAAATGCCATGGCAATCTTGATGCTGTCTAGCTTCGTGGTCCGAGTCAGGGTCTACAGGTTAACATCGTCAAGTCCAAATGTTATGGGATCTTTGTATAGGTCACCTTGGCTTTCATGTTGATAAGGTTGACTGTTGTAATTTGTGCACTCAGTCTGGTGCACGAGATCGCACGCAAGTCTGTTGATTGAGTCAATGTTGATACTCTCAACTCTAAATTGTGGGAAATGTTCAGGATTGTATTAGATTAGATATAAATATGCTCATTTGTGAGAATTCTATGTAATTTGGTACAAATTGTTAGTCTTGTCCAAACTAAGGGTGGCGTGCGGGAGCCCCCCATTCGGCACCAATAAAGCTTACAAGGCGAGTCTGAGAATGGTCAGCAGGTACCACAAAATCGGCATGAAACGGCCACATTTACGAGAAACACAGGTCCACTAAAATTTGAGTACATCCTTACATGGCCCCTATGAAATATCAGCAAGGGCAGTCTACTACTTATTCTTTATAAATTGTATGCCTTTCAAAGGCTAAACCAGTGAAGTACTGTAGCATGATAATGATAATAAGGAAGCAATATACAGAAGACCCAAAACTGTGCTAAGAAATAAACTAGACTCGAAAAAAAGCTAGATACCATTCATATTGTCAAAACCCTTATTCCTCGATAAATATATATGTGGCTCCTGCCTGGATAATGACTTTCGAAAGGCAAGTCTGAGGATGCTCTTGCAGTTTGAGTTAGCGCTCGCTGGGTTTCAAGTTGTTGAGTTTATGTTGAATTTCTGCTGATCTCGGGTTTTGGCGAAGTTTCAAGAAGTCGTGTTATTGACACCGAATGAGGGCTCCTGTACGCCACTCTTAGTTCGGATCAGACCTTAGTAGTTACTGATATCGACTGTCATATCAATTTGGTCTGACTGGGGAGACTAACAAATTGTGTCGTTTCCGACTGGGACTGAAGACTACTATCGATCTGAATTCAGCCGTAACCAAACAGATGAACCATGCCCATCATGAAGCTCAAGCTCAGCTGCTACTTTCCGGTGGAGCCACCGTTTTTCACGCAAATCATTTTTGAGGGCAATCTCAAAGTCAAATCACTGTTGAGGGAGGTCCACAAGCAGCTCAAGGAGGAAAGCTATGATGTCCCACTGAGGGACCTTGTGCTGTACAAGGTGTGTCTGCCACCTAGTCTACGATGCCAAATGACTGACCCTGGATAGGCGGATGTCAAGATAGAGCCCGAGGTGGATCTGACAGACCGTGTCATTCAGTGGCTTCGCATCCAGCCAGAGGCAGCCGAGCTCAGTGTTCTACGTAACATTAAAGACGTGTTCACCGAAGCCCTGCCAGATGATACTCTTCATATCATTGTTGCCAATGCTGAGAGTGCGTTTTTTCATGTGTTTCCATACCCCTCCCTAGCCCCCTCACCCCGTTTCAGTCAAGGAGCTACTTGACTTTGTTGACGATCCTCAAGCGCGGTCTCGGATACAGATTAAGAAAAGTACGAGTCCACCCACTTGTCACTTGTTCAATCCTCATTATTTTTGCAGAGCTCGGCAAGCAGTTCGCCAAACTATCATCCAGCCCCTCCCCATCTGCAGTTGTAAGGAGCGCTGATGCATTGGCAAAGTTCCTCAATGCCGATGGCCATCCTGTGTGCCTCGATCAAGTCCCAGCCGCCATGTTCAGCCCGCCACTTGCGCACCTACAACGGGCCCTCGCCGAGCTTGGCGATCTCGAGGTGACCGAACATGATGTCAGCCACGCGTCTAGCTTCCTCAGCAGTACAATCATGTCTTATCACAATGAGGACAGTCGCCGGAACGCCATTCGGCAGCACGTCGACCACTTAATGGGGGAGCCTGGTCAGTGGGAGGAAAGGCTTGACCGGGTGGGGAACATCCAGCCTGATGCGAGTTGGTGGCAAGGTGAGTTCCCTGTCACAATCCTGGAGCTGAAAAATGCCCCTGGTATTGGCGGAGATCCTTTTGTTCAAAGTCTTGCCGACTACAGCAAGATTGTGTCGGACCCCCAGGTGCGGCAGCACGCATCCACGTTCGTATCTCCGTTGACGTGTCCTTTCTAGCTTGCGCACTTTCAAGGATCCTGCAATTTCCCTGTCTTGCTTCTCGGTCTCTCGGGAAATCGGATCGAGATTGGTGTGGCTGTCTGTGTTGGCTCTATCTACGCATCCAGGCTAGTCGCCTTCAATATCACCCCCGGATTTCACTTGTCCGAGAACATCATCCATGCGGCTCGAATCTTCAGGTGCCTTTCATCGTGTCGAGCGGCACTGGCAGCGCACTACCGCGCAGTTCAGGGCAACCACGTAACTATTGCGGCAATCTACCCTGACCCAACCTCAGTATCAGGCAATGCATTGCCGTGCCTGACCTACCACGGTGTCCTCTTGCGAACCGGCGAGCACATTTCGACCAGCTTGCCAGACCTGGGAGTTGGGACCACCGCGCTGTACCGGGCTACCCTTGGTGACGCTGCCACCCCTGATGGTGCTACCGAGGTCGTCGTCAAGTTTGCGAGTCGGTACGGTAAAGCAGCCCACCGCCTCTTATCCGATGCCAAACTGGCCCCAAAGCTCCACTGGTGCGAGCCAATCATCGGGGGCCTTTTTATGGTCGTCATGGACCATCTCGAAGACGGTGCATCAATCTGGCGACTGCGAAACAGTTCAAGGCCCAAACCTGTTCCCGAAGCTGTCTTGAGGGATGTTAAAAGGGCACTAAAGCTCTTGCACGAGAATAGGTTTGTGTTCGGAGACCTGCGTGACACGAATGTTGTTTCTTCCAAGGAGCAAGGGTTTCTCGTTGATTTCGATTGGGCTGGGAAGGAAGGAGAGGACAGATACCCAGCCGCGCTCAATGAAAATAATAAGTGGCATGCCGAGGTTCGTGCGCACGCCGTTATGAGCAAGGCGCATGATGATTATCAGTTCGAACAGTTGGAGGCTCAGCTGAAGTAGTTTGTTGTATCCTTTCAAGACCTTTTGTACCATAGCTCCCAAAATCGCATTACATTTGTCACCCACTCATTTTCACCGGACTTTCACAGAATGTGCAGTTGGGAGGGATAACATGACTGCTAGTTCTCGCACAGGTTTGATATTACAAGTGCAATGGAATAGGCTGCTTGCAGTTGGGAGGGATAACATGACTTCTAGTTCTCGCACAGGTTTGATATTACAAGTGCAATGGAATAGGCTGCTAAAAGCTTGAACGAGCTGTAAGACTTCTCATTTTAATCTGACGTAGTTACTTGCAGATAATCCAAGAGTATAGTGATGCATTGAATCATCTTTATATTCTTGTGGTGCACGTGTAGTAGTACCTAACAATAATTAATAGTATTGAGTAGAGAGGATACTGACAATGAAAAATGGCCATCTATGCTTCCGACTTTTCTTTTTCTTCCTCCGTAGGATCGTGGATAATCCTCATAAAATCCCACCATTGTGGTCCATACAAATAGTACAACACTCCAAAAGTCGCGCCGCTCAAATGCGCATAATATCCTGTACCAGAGCCAGAGATCAGCAAAACAAAATCAAAGCAGTAGCAATACAATCTCTTACTTCCAACCACGCAATATACCAATAGCGTCCAAGGCTATAATAGCACCCACACCTGACTGGATAGGAATCGCAAAGAACGGGAGGAATATGAGGCTGATACTAGCATCAGGGAATGCCAGTGCGCTGAGTGTGACAGCTGCGTAAATGGCGCCTGAAGCCCCTAAAGAGAGAATCTCCTTTGCCGTCGTACCAGCAGCGGATTTGGCAACTGTTCCACCCGCCAGAGTGCCACTAGGTTTCGAGAGTTGCGATACTAGGCGCGGGTATAATACCTTGGTAGACACAGCGTGGCTAGCCAGACCGGAGAAAAGGCCAGCTTAATGAGGAGTGTATAAGTAAATTATGATTGTACATAATTACGTCATATGCCATGTCACTCAAGCCACAATTCTGTCAAATTTAACATACGCAAACAAAATATCGGAACGTTCCGTGTGTCTCAATCTCTGAATGGTTTTTTGCTGGTCTATTGTAGTTGGAACTTCTCGTACAATAAACTACAGGTGAATTATGCTCTTGTCAGATTATAGTGTCCCTGCCTATATTGTATTTCGGTATTCGGTATAATTCTTCTAATCTTGAGTCATCCAGCTTCAGATCCTCTGATGGGTGTACTGTGACAAGTTTTTCATCAAAATCCCTGAGCAGCCGAATCGATCCCCTTTCGCGACCTCTGGACAATGCTACATATGCTCCGAACTTCGAAACCTGAAATGATGGTGTCTTACCTATGTTAACGATAACTGTTTCCAAAGTCTGGCCTTGGGATTTGAAGTCGGTAAAAGCTGTTGCAGGAGTAGTTGCAAATTGAGTGCGTTTAATTTTATGATGTGGCTTGATGTAAAAGGTTGATGCGCTCGGGAACAAAGGGATTGTACCGGAAATAAGGCCGGGGAATATAATAGAGGGTGGGTTTTTTGGCTTGCACACAAGCAACGGGGGGGTGTAGAGCAGGTAAACTTTGGATGTATGTTGATTGGCTATTTCTCTAGGATCCAGTATAATGTCGACAATCTCACCTCACAACCCATTGGCTTGCTCGATTGATGGTGAGATATGTGAGGAATTGATTTTTCTTATCGCATTCCTGTCGTGTTGTGGTTAACAGACTCAATCCCTGTCACTCCTCTTGCCCTTGGACTAGAGATCACAGCCGGTATCTTATTATTTTTATCCTTTTTCTTCTTATTCTCTATTCACACTCACGTCCTATTGTACTTACAACGAAGGAGAAGTGTTTAGGATGGAGTGAAGATGTGTTAGAATCGGGGTAGAATTTCTGGCACTGGTGTGAATAATCGATAATGGCTGAGCTGATGGTGACGTGGGAAAATGATGATAGTGATGTATGGAAGTTCGAAGATATGGAGTAATATCGGATGATATATTGATGGAAGGTTGATGCTCCACTCCTATTGTTGTGGAGAAGGATAAGTGAAGGGGCGGTGAGGATTCAATCTCCCTTTCATCCTCTTGACTATCATTGCGAATAGTATGCATGAGTGTGCGATTATGGTGCATGAGTGTGCGATTATCAGGAGAAAGTGACGAAGCAATAGTAGCATTGGTAGAGGATGGTGATGGGGGTGAGTCACTGATATTTGATGGTAACTGTTGACACGAATATGGGGGTGGTGATTCAGAATCAGTGGATGAGTCATCATTAATTAATCCATTTATATGATTGTGTATCGGCTCCAAATCGGATTCTTGTATTACCTCCACCATCACATTGACTTGACCATTCATATCACGTGATGGAGGTCCATTTATATCTTCATCAGTGGGAATTGGAAATGATTCTGTTTGAGGAAAGAAGCGGATATGTGCAGTTCCTGAGCGACTGATAATGGATTGTGCTCTTCCAGGTCCATGATTCTGGTCAAATCGCAAATGAGCATGGAGCAGGACATAATCAGCATAAAGGTTGTGGTTTTCATCGAAGCCATGGTGTCCTCTCATGACATAGTCTGAAGTCAGTGAGAGTGAACTCATGTTGTGACTATATCGAAGGTTGTTCAGTAGACCAAAGATAGCAGACCTTTCATCTTCCCTGATTGAGCGAATAAAGTCAAAGAATGTTTCAAAGGTGCTGGCATTGGGGATAGGGATAGGGGCTTCAATAGTTTCTTCTAGACAAGTTTCCAGGTCTTCCAGTGCTCTGAGAGTGCTAGAATTTTCAATTGAACCAATTGGGGAATTATCTGGAACAGGCACAGTTTTTTCTTCTGGGGTGACACTTTCAGCAGCAGTTTCCAGTTCATCGGTATTTCCATCGAGATCTTCTCCATTGAAGTCATAGTCCGTGACTAAGAAGCTGGATACTGTATTGGATACTCCAGATACTGGTTTGACATAGTGAATAGGACAATGATCTGATGATACCTTGACTTCAAGGGCTGGGTTTTTGATTTTGCCATCCTTTCTGAAGACGAGATAAGTGCCATTAAGTCTTTCTTCAATGCTGACATAGTTCCCATGTGTCCATGGTTGTCCAAGAAGTAGATCGTATCCAGTGTCTTTTCCAACAAAGATATTGGCATAAGTTTTGACTTCTCCGCAGTATAAAGCCACATTGTTGACTAGACCATCAAGTCTACCAAATCCTCCATTGGCATCTTTGACTACAGGTTGAATACTAGTATCCATGGGAAGGCGAATGAGATTTTCCCAAATAGTGCGGCTGACTATATTGAGAGCAGACCCTGAATCAACAATAGCTGTAATAGTTTCTCCATTAGAGGTAACAGGAACATGAATAAGGTCGGCATGAGTGATGGCAAAAAGTGATTCAGCTGTCAAGCTTTGGGGTTTGTTGTCTAGTCCAAAATTAACGCGCTTGGGTTTCATCATTTCTTGGAGATTCTGGGAAACTTTTTTTGATAGACCAATGACATTACCAATAGATAGGGGGATAGGGGTGCTGAGAATTTGATCAATGATGGCTTTGGAGTCAAGATTCTGTGAAAGTGTAGATGAAGTCTTGAGTAGTTCTTCTGTTATCGGCAGGGGGATTCTTCTTGGTGGTCTGGGAAGCGTCTTCCATGATTACATCGTCATTAGTGGGATCAAAGATAGGCTGTGCAATATCAAATATGTGTGGTTTTGATGGAACAGGGGCTATGGTTGGAGCGACAGGCTTCTCTTCTTCTTTATTCTTTCCTTTTACAGCTTTGGCCCAATCTGGTTTAGGAGGAATGTAGACACCATCAAAGACTTGCTTGTGCTTCTCCTTAGACACTCTGTCTGGACAATCCACTGCATAGACAGGTTCTTCATCTGAACCAGAATCAGAGTCAGCTACTTCAGCAATGGACATGAAAGAAGTCGTAGTGAGGAGGTTAGACTTGGGGATAGTGCGATGTACAGCAGTTGCTATGGGTTCCTCTCTTGATCGCATGATTCTGGACCCATCAGACATGACAAAGCGACCAGTGTCATCCTTCTTAATGATTCCCTTTGACAGTAAGTCAAGCATATCTGCGCATTCATTAACTCCATGACCAGTTTTTCCGCATCCATAGCAAAGGAAGGGAACACGAGGTGCTGTAGGCAGAGTGGCAGTGGGTGAAGTAGCAGGCTGAGTGGGTAAGTTACTGCTTCCTTGAGAGGATCGAGATGGTCTGGCTGACTGGTTCATGAAAGTGGGAGGGCAAAGTATAAGTCTAGCATCAGTGTCAAGTTTGATAGCACAATAGTAGAGCAGAGGATAGTTGGGATCTTCGATTGTCATAGAACCCAACTTCTTGATAAGTGTTTCTACTTCATCTTGCTTGACAGCAGTGTGCTCTTCTTTGTCTAAGGAATGAAGGGTTTTCTTCAACTTGGAAGGACTCAACAGCTTTCTCTCTTTCTCTGTCTCAGAGGTGTGCTTTTTCTCTTTCTTCTGCTTGGTGGTTTTCCTGATATAACGAGGTGGTTCTGCCTCTTTGTCAGAGTCAGAAGAATCGTCTGAAGAACTGGAAAAGCTCTCTGAATCCGAGTCTGAATCCGAATCATCAGAGTCAAAATATTCATCATCAAAGTGATCTCTGCGAAGGACATGCTCTACAGCTTTGACAACATCATCAAAAGCAAAAGTCTGAGAGAGCATCAAAGCGATCTCTGCAAAGGACATGCTCTACAGCTTTGACAACATCATCAAAAGCAAAAGGCTGAGAGAGATCAAGGGTAGGATCCCTCTGAAGGAGTCTGTTTTCAACGCGATGACGAAGGGTTTTGGATAGTCCTTTCCAGAAAAAGCGATTGAATACGTCCTGGGTGATTTTAGATTTGGCAAGAAGCCATCCTCCAACACGAACATACTTCCTCATGTAGCTCTTGAAATCGTCCAGAGAGCCCATTTTCTTCTCGTGCGAAGCATCAACCAGCTGTTTAAGATGATGCTCTTTAAATTTGGCCTCTGCTTTTGCAGCATCAAAGTACTGGAGAATTTTGTCTTTGAGACTGTTCCATGAGGGCGTAATGAAGTGCTTCATTCCTTCAATAATTTCGCAAACATATGTGGAGCAGTATTGGAGAATGCTTGAGCATTTTTCATCGTCAGCAGTGACATTGTTTGCATGACAGATACGTTCATAGTGGAGAACAAAATCCCTGACACGAGTATAGTCTCCCTTGAACTTCTTAGGAGCATAATGAGTGCCAGGAATTGGCATAGTGATGACTGAGAGAGTAGTAGGTTGATTCATAGTGGAAAATATAGGGGGTAAACGTGAAGCTTGCTGAGTAGAAGCTGGTACAGAAATTGAGTTACTGGAAGAGAGGGATGGGACAGATAAAGCGGTGGGTGAGATAGAAGGTGTAGATGATAAATTAGACAGTGATGGCAATGAAATGGTTGGTATTTAGCTTGAAGGAAACCACCCCTCGCGGTGGGCTCCAATTGTCAATGATGAGAACTGTTGTTAGAAAACCACACACAAAAACAAACTAACAAACAATCCTCCCAGATTCCACGGAATTTGTTTATGGGCTTTGCCTCCTAGAACATTGGGTGCTCTGGTTGTTTGTGGGGTGGTATGTATGAAGGTCCTTCAAAGTAAAACCCAGAGATGTATGGGTGTGGGTTTTGAGGAGGAGGGATAGTTAAATTGATAGAAGATGGGGGCTTAATGACAAGTATAGATGAGCACTACCTTGCTAATCGTAGCACAAAGTAGGTTTGAGAATGACAAAGATGACGAGGTGACAAGGTTCCCAGTGATAGCAGGCTCCTGACGCACAAACTGTAGTGCTCAGAAGGACTCTAAACGAAAGGGATGACAGTGACTTTCAAAAATGAGGAGTGATGATGACAGCAGATAGCAGTGGTAACAGTGGGAAGTATTGTGACCACACTGGATCACAAGTAGCAGAGTAGTGAACTTGAGATTTAGAGAAAAAGTCTGGAATCGAGTTCTTTGTTGTTTTTACAAGGTAAAATACAGGAGTTTATATAGTGAAAAGAAAGGTAGGCAATGCACAGTATAGCTGTGCAAAAAGAATGAGAAAGAACATGAAGGAAGGAATATATGCTGACAAATCCTGCGTAGTTGCTACAGGATAAGATCATCAAAATAAGGGAAAGAAAGGGATAGAACAATGAATGCTGTGAGTAATGTTACAGGTTTGTACAGCCATAAAGTAAAGTCCAATAGCAAAAAGAGAGCAGGAAAATCATGATGTCATGGGAAGATGCAGTAAAAAAAAGGGCAAGGAAAAACACTATTAGTATCAACACAGTTCCTTTATTGTCAGTCAGCCATTCTAAAAAAATATGTGTCCATAAAAATGATTCAAAAATCAAAAATAATTGCACTGCAAATGAATGTTCTGCTGAAAAAAAAGAAACTGGAGCCACCGGTCCACCACCTAGTCCAAATCCGACAGTTCCATGGCTTTACCAATAGACTGGTTGTGTTGGACCACCTGATCAAACGAGGGAGGGAGAGGAGTAGTTCCAATTTGGAACAAGTGAGTCCCAGGCAGCGTGTGGTAGGTGTAGCTGTAGCGAAGACGATGGACAAAAGATAAGTGTACCCAAGTGAATGGGACAGCAATGAACATGGGCAACGCAAGGGGATGAATCTTCTCCAGCTCAAAAACTACCCACCCACGCTCCAACCAGGCAAGACGAGCGACCGATGTTTTGATAGTATATGATGGCAGATCGACGTCATGAAGATGGACCTGTTGCCCTATTTGGACCGGCCGCCGGGGCTTTGCTGATATCAGCAGTGGCACGTGGTAGTCAATGGATTGGCGACGGAAGCGGATAGGAAGTGGTGACATCAGAAATGGTAGGGGTGCAAATAAGATGAGGAGGAGGAGGGTGGAGGTGACAAAAAAGTGAATTAGAATGGGGATCCAGAAATGACTGTCAGGTGAGAATAAAAAGGAGAGGAAGGGGCCCATGGTGGGGCTAGGCAAAGGAAGGGGAGTGAAGGAAACGACAAAAGCGAGGGCGCAATGCAATGTGTAGCCAGTGGCGACGCAAAAATTTGTTGAAATGCCGAAACGTGGAGGGTACCGAATAGAAAAGCAAAGGTGAGCGTGACTGGATTGCCTAATAGAGGTGATGCTGATCAGCCACAAGTTCGAAAAAGGCAATATTAATTACTATTCCACGTGGCACTGTGCCTGTGTGGCGCAAAGGCGAGTCTTTTTGAATACTTGCTTCGTTATTGACACCTGTCCTTGCTACCAATCAACTTTGGTGCATGACAACACTGCCTGGGACTCACTTGTTCCAAATACGGACTACTCCTCTCCCTCCCTTGTTTGACCAGGTGGTCCAACACAACCAGTCCATTGGTAAGGCCATGGAACTGTCAGATTTGGACTAGGTGGTGGACCGATGGCTCTAGTTTCTTTTTTTCAGCAGAACATTCATTTACAGTGCAATTAATTTTGATTTTTGAATCATTTTTATGGACACATATTTCTTAGAATGCCTGACTGACAATAAAGGAATTGTGTTGATACTGATAGTGTTCCGCCTTGCCTTTTTTTACTGCATCTTCCCATCACATCATGATTTTCCTGCTCTTTTTTTGCTTTTGGACTTTACTTTATGGCTGTACAAATCTGTGACATTACTCACAGCATTCATTGTTCTATCCCTTTTTGTCCTTTTTTTGACAATCTTATCCTGTACTACCTATGCAGAATTTGTCAGCGTACATTCCTTCCTTCATATTCTTTCTCATTCTTTTTACACAGCTATACTGTGCATAGCCTACTTTTCTTTCACTATATAAACCCCTGTATTTTATCTTGTAAAAAAACAAGAACACGAATCCAGACTTCTTCTCTAATCTGAAGTTCACTACTCACTACTACTTGTGATCCAGTGTGGTCACAACATTTCCCACTACTACCACTGTTAACTGCTGTCATCGTCACTCGTCACTTTTTGAAAGTCATTGTCATCCCTTTTGATTAGAGTCCTTCTGAGCACTACAGTCTGTGCATCAGGAGCCTGCTATCACTGGGAACTTTGTCACCTCGTCATCTTGTCATTCTCAAACCTACCTTGTGCTACAATTAGCAAGGTAGTGCTTGTCTATACTCGCCACAAAGCCCCTATCTTCTATAATCCAACTATCCCTCCTCCTCAAAACCCACACCCATACACCTCTGGGTTTTACTTTGAAGGATCTTTATACGTACCACCCCATGAACAACCAGACCACTCCACTGTTCTAGGAGGCAAAGCCCATAAACAAGTTTCGTGGAATCTGGGAGGATTGTGTGTTAGTTTGTTTTGTGTGTGGTTTTTCTAACAATAGTTCTCATCATTGACAATGTGTTCTCTGAATTGTGTAGTTTGTAGCAAATCTTTCATTATCAATGACGTTGGAGCTCCTGATAACAATATTATCATGTGGGGATGAAGTGTTCCCCGTCCTTGTGCTTCCACCGTACCTAAAAAAGTGTTTTTTTCACCAAATACTCCTTTGCTTTGGCTTATCCTGTGGCATACCACCAGCGTCAGGACTTGGTGTGACCTGGCAGAATTTGACTTGTAAGCTCCGCCTGATTTGGTCTGTGAGTGCCCCTGTGACCCAGTGACCAGAAATTGCAGAACCATTCCAAAACATGTGTCGTCTTTTTGGTTTTGTTCCGCTACTCCAATGCTTCAAGTTCTTGCTTATTTTTCTACATAGGCAGCTAGAAAACTAAAAAATATATCTACTGGTCAAGTTTTGACAGTCTAAAGCTCAACAACTGGTGGGTTATTCAACTTCTCCCCAGACCAATTGCACCTATTGTCCAACGATAGTATAAATTTATTCATATTTGTTGTAATTTGAGCACACCATATCCTCAGAGCAATGAAATATCATGGCCCTCTGGGGCAGACCTGGACCCGGCATTTACCGATTTGCATTCAACAATTGGTGCTGATGATCGGTTTTTTGACTTGCAAATCCTTTTTTTTGTTTTCTTTGTATTGCAAGACAGAATGTGTCAAACTCTTTACTGGCATGATATTTTGATTGGGTGTGTCAGACATTGCGCCATTTAGCGGCATGAGCGCCGATCATTTGGAGTGCACCCAACCACGAAAGAGAATCACAAAATAGCATGGGGAAGGCAAGTGATGAACCGGACCAACAACCGAGAAAAACCACCTAAAACAATTGCCTGGATCCTACAACAGGAATAATCACAGAGTAACGCACGACTATCAGTCAAACAACTGCGCGCACTTTCTATCTACTTTCATGGACAATACAAACATATAGAGGGCTACAAGAGATATTAAAAGAGCTTTCTGCAGATATATCTTCAAGTCAGCAGGAAACAGAAGCAGTCATTGTGACTGAACAAGACATAGAAGATGCAGACAGACAACAAGAAACTCCTGCGGAACAATTGTATGCAGCATGTGCAATCAACATTGCAGAAGACATTGGGATTTTCACAGAGACAAAAGCCTGCGACGGTCTATAAAGCACCTTGTAAAGCAGTTCAGCATTGTGAGCGCAAATATGTTGACAATTTAGAAATATTTCTAACAAACATCAGCAACAATACAATACTTGCAGGGTTGGAAAAATACAATGCTTGGATTGCCCATGTACGAGACACCTGAAGGACAAGAAAATGTTCAGGATATGGCAATCATTCAAAATAGCAAAAATCAAACAACTCCCACAGTAGTTGCACAACCTAACCCCATTAACATAAGCATGCACAATACTCATATCCAACACTTGAACGTAGACCAATGTATGGCACATGACATAATAGCAAACAGCACACAGAATTACCTGAATGGGTTGAAGACCAACCAAATACTCATGGTTATAAATGGGCAAGGTGGCACGGGGAAGACAACGATGTTGAATGCAATATCCAACACGTTCAAAAGATTAGGTGCAACACATCTTCTAGCCAAAACAGCAATGACCGGCGTGGCTGCAAGTTTGATCAATGGATCCACGTTACTATCCTTTAAATCCTAACAAAGTTTTGATGACAATCTTTACTATCAGATGAAAGAATTGAGCAGCCGCATACGGATCCAATGCTACAGCATGTGACCTGGCCGTCAAGTTAGGGCCTGCCGTGGAAATGAAGTCATCTAGATTGATTTCTGCACCTGTAAAAACCTGGGCTATAGGATTATGAGAATCAGAAGGGTTTATCCTCAATCAAATTGATGGTGGATTTTTCATAATGGTGAATCCCCAAACTTGTTTTTGAAGTTTAATCCTGGATTCATCTGTACCCATTACTTTAGCCCTGATGGTGGATAAGTGCCTTTTGAGTGATCTTATGGTAGGGTTTGATATGGTCTTCTTTTGGCCCTCCTCTTTGCTTGCAATTGCAAAGTCTGAGATGTTTAATGATCATGTGGCTTCTTCATTTTGATGGAATGTGTTTTTGCTAAGTTGTAAACATGCAGACCGACAGACTTGTCTCTTCTGTATAACCCCAAATGCTCGGGACATGAATTGATGATCCAGTTGAAACCTCTTATCTCCATAGTGTAATGCCCATTGCACATGGAGTTCATAAGTGACCTTTTTTTTCTTGTTCGTTTCAAAGCCACCCTGCCCATATGGAAACAACCAAGGGAAAGTACCAAGCATGTGATTAGGATCCTCTGCTTATCCCTCATAATTCATCCCTTCCTCATCAGTCCAAGGGTATTCATTGACAAACAGTAATCCTCTGATTGAATAACCTCCTTTTTTCAGATCTTTTGATACATTCGCCAATGCATGAGCAAGTAGTCCATTTTCTTGAATGTCGCTTCCAGATGCATTGACCACTCCTAGAGTTTGTAATGGTATGGTAGCCTCTTTGGGATAATTTAATAGCTGACCATGTGAGACTACGCAAATTTTCTTACCTTGCTCGGCAGAGCTGTGTTCATCTTCATCATCCTCCATATCTGTAACTCCTGAAATGTTCAGATTCTCTGCAAGTCACTGGGTATGAGCTTATTTCCCCGCTAAATGTTGACAATCCTTATCTTCACTTCCGTCTGGTACATAGTTTGAACGTTCTATCTCAAGTTGATCAATGTCAGACGAATATTGAACATTGTCCATTAGCTCTGGAGGAACATTATTATCTGGTAGCAATGCAATCTTCACTGATTATTATATCAGAGTATAATGGGCTGTTATGCTGCAGGAACTTCAGTGCATCTTGCACAGCATTTCTTTGTACTAGGAATAGGCCATTCATGCATCTTTCAGGTATATTCTTTGGCCCAACAATTGTCACTCCAACAGTTGACGAAAGCACACTAAGACTGTGTGGTAAGATTGGATTGGCTACCATGTTGAGAATGTCCTTGGTTGGCAATCAGTATGTCGATACATTTTCCCTGATTCCACTATTCAAACCTTTGGCATCCCAATCTTTTGCACCAATTTTTTTTGGATAAAGCTTGATGACATGTACCACTGAGAAATATCATGGTATCAACCTCCTCTCAGTGATTGTTAACCTGCTCAGCTCAACAGGTACTTCACCCATCCATAAACCATTTGCTAGTGAAAGTCTTGGTATTGTTTACAATGTGGTGAATAGGGAAACAGGCAGCTTTTGTGAGGTATTGACGAGACTAGGATCTTTGTTAAGCCATAAGCAAACATCAATCTTCCGCATACAGCACATATATCTTGTTTAAGTGCAGCGTTATTTGTCTGTTGTATAAATTGGCGGATATGTCCCTTGCTTTTTTCTGTATCCCCAACATCCAGAAATTTTTTGTAAGCCCGTGATGGTCCATTTGATGGGGAGGTTCTTCATCTTCTCCCATTACACTCCTACTTCTTTTTCGATTCATACTATGTGAACCCCTTTTTTCTTCTACAGCAGTAACATATAATGCACACCATTCTTCAGGTAATTTCTCAATGACCTCAATTAGTAATTGTTTTGACCTTTTTTGCTCCCTAGTGAATGTAAAGAATTTGATATGCGCAATATATGCTCTATTGTCAGAACTGAGAACATAGACATGATGTTTTGTCGTTGTAAAGAGTTTTGTTGCAGTCAGCCCTTCATCTTTTCCAAATTGTTCAAAACTGATGACCTGTAGAACGTGACGTCTACATTATAGTCTAGACCAGTTCTCTTATGTGGATCATGTGGAGTTTGAGTCCAGACCAAGTCATCATTTCAACTGATGATGATGGCAACCACTGGTTCTACAATTACAACGTCATCCACACTAAAGAGGTAAAGTGCCTCCTAATTTATATTATTTAAATGAATACTTCAACACAGATTTTTTTCAGCTCTTCCTTCTTACCCTTGCCATCATATTTGATGCTGTCTCTTATCGTAACAACATCCGCAGCCTCTCCACTTATGTTGCATGTGCAGTATTCTTGTCCTGCATGGGCTGGAAACAATTAGGCAACGGTCATGGGGTTATCACCAAGCAAACAGGCGATGTTGATGATAAGAACTGTTGTTAGAAAACCACACACAAAAACAAACTAACACACAATCATCCCAGATTCCACGGAACTTGTTTATGGGCTTTGCCTCCTAGAACAGTGGAGTGGTCTGGTTGTTCGTGGGGTGGTACGTATAAAGATCCTTCAAAGTAAAACCCAGAGAGGTATGGGTGTGGGTTTTGAGGAGGAGGGATAGTTGAATTTATAGAAGATGGGGGCTTTGTGATGAGTATAGACGAGCACTACCTTGCTAATCGTAGCACAAGGTAGGTTTGAGAATGACAAAGATGACGAGGTGACGAGGTTCCCAGTGATAGCAGGCTCCTGATGCACAAACTGTAGTGCTCAGAAGGACTCTAATCGAAAGGGATGACAGTGACTTTCAAAAATGACGAGTGACGATGACAGCAGATAGTAGTGGTAGCAGTGGGAAGTATTGTGACCACACTGGATCACAAGTAGCAGAGTAGTGAACTTGAGATTTAGAGAAGAAGTCTGGAATCGAGTTCTTTGTTGTTTTTACAAGGTAAAATACAGGGGTTTATATAGTGAAAAGAAAAGCAGGCTATGCACAGTATAGCTGCGCAAAAAGAATGAGAAAGAACATGAAGGAAGGAATGTACGCTGACAAATCCTGCGTAGTTGCTACAGGATGAGATCATCAAAATAAGGGAAAGAAAGGGATAGAACAATGAATGCTGTGAGTAATGTTACAGGTTTGTACAGCCATAAAGTAAAGTCCAATAGCAAAAAGAGAGCAGGAAAATCATGATGTCATGGGAAGATGCAGTAAAAAAAAGGGCAAGGAAAAACACTATTAGTATCAACACAGTTCCTTTATTGTCAGTCAGCCATTCTAAAAAAATATGTGTCCATAAAAATGATTCAAAAATCAAAAATAATTGCACTGCAAATGAATGTTCTGCTGAAAAAAAAGAAACTGGAGCCACCGGTCCACCACCTAGTCCAAATCCGACAGTTCCATGGCCTTACCAATGGACTGGTTGTGTTGGACCACCTGATCAAACGAGGGAGGGAGAGGAGTAGTTCCAATTTGGAACAAGTGAGTCCCAGGCAGCGTGTGGTAGGTGTAGCTGTAGCGAAGACGATGGACAAAGGATAAGTGTACCCAAGTGAATGGGACAGCAATGAACATGGGCAACGCAAGGGGATGAATCTTCTCCAGCTCAAAAACTACCCACCCACGCTCCAACCAGGCAAGACGAGTGACCGATGTTTTGATAGTATGTGATGGCAAATCGACGTCATGAAGATGGACCTGTTGCCCTATTTGGACCGGCCGCCGGGGCTTTGCTGATATCAGCAGTGGCACGTGGTAGTCAACGGATCGGCGACGGAAGCGGATAGGAAGTGGTGACATCAGAAATGGTGAGGGTGCAAATAATATGAGGAGGAGGAGGGTGGAGGTGACGAACAAGTGGACTAGAATGGGGATCCAGAAACGACCGTCGGGTGAGAATAAAAAGGAGAGGAAGGGGCCCATGGTGGGGCTAGGCAAAGGAAGGGGAGTGAAGGAAACGACAAAAGCGAGGGCGCAATGCAATGTGTAGCCAGTGGCGACGCGAAAATTTGCCAAAATGCCAAAACACGGAAAGTACCGGATGGAAAAGCAAAGGTGAGCGTGACTGGATTGCCTAATAGAGGTGGTGCTGATCAGCCACAAGTTCAAAACAGGCAATATTAATTACTATTCCACGTGGCACTGTGCCTGTGTGGCGCAAAGGCGAGTCTTTTCGAATATTCGCTTCGTTATTGACACCTGTCCATGCTACCAATCAATTTTGGTGCATGACAACGGTTAACCCACCGCTCATCACAACAACAATGCAGTGCCCTATCAAAACTGAAAATATATGTGAGTTAGCCAATCATCATGAATAACTATGCTAAATCTACCTGAAGACATCCACCAACTTGCTGCAAATAATCATACAGTCAAATATTTTGAAGAACATGAAGAGTTATTTTACATAACTAAGTACATCGCAAAACAGGAGACAAAAGAGGAGTAGGTGTACTAAATGTGAATGTAACATGTGTTGTATTATGTAAGCAAGCAATGTCAGAGTCAGCGCCTTGCGACAACCCCTAGTAGTAAACATTACCTGCAACATAAAATGCCAAGAAATGCCATCTCGTAGTTGACTCTTGGTAGTCTGTTGGACCTCTTTGCTGCTCTCTGGCAAGGTAAAGGGTGGCAGCAGAACCTGGAAGCTAGTTTCAGAAAGAAACAGCATGATTGACATTAATGACGACCTTACCAAAGCTTATAAGAGCCATTGAATTAGCCACAAGATGTAAGAACAAGCAATGGCTTCAAATATACCAATATATGAGTCTGTGACACATGCGAAAGACCTCAAGGCATACCTGAATACACTCATTAACAGAGTGTAGGATAGCCCAGATATTGGGTGATGCATAAAGCTTCTGTGTATCGATGGGACCAACCTTTGATGGTGTTTCAGCTTATACGGTAACTACGACTTTTCAAGGACAGCTGATCATATTTCATTCATTATATCTTGTGCCTCAGATTCATCAATGCCACTAACCCTCAAGCACTTGAACCCGGAGGAACATTCACAATGGGTAGGTGACGTGGTGTAGACTTGGTAACAACATCTCATCTTGTTTTTTTCTGCTCGTAGAGTCTCTCAACCAAAGCTTGTACACTGGTACTATTGACTATCAGAATATCCCCAATACCCCTTTATACTGGATCTTACCGATGACCTGTGCATTGCATCAACCTGGGTCTGACTGCTTTGATAAACTGAACTTTATGGATTATTAGCTATGACCGTTCAGGGCAACTCTGTCAGCATTCCTACCGGTTCAGCATCGTACTCCACTATTGACACCGGCACTACACTCGTCGGTGGTCCATCAAGTGCCATTCAGAGCATCTTTGCACAAATCCTAGGGTCAAATCTTAGTGGACCTGTTCACCATTTGGATGATGCAAAGAGCCATCCATTTGAAAAGAAAAATAGTTATGGGAGAAATATCTTGAAAAAAGTATTTTTGTTTTCAAGCTTTTTTTCCAGATTTTTCTCATATATATATTTGGCTATGCACCCAGTGATTGCTGAAGAACAACCACCTGTTACTAATAAAACTATGTGAAACTCAGCTGCTGCCCAAGAGGCTATAGAATTGACTGAGGTATTTCTATACTAAACCCCCTACTACTTATAGTTGGAGGTGCTACTTGCTACAGTATAATGACTCCTAGGAGTACAATTGTGACTCCATGGAGTGGTGGCTATGCTCCATGGAGAACAATGGCTGCTTTGGCAGAGACTGGGTTTATCCGGTTTTGTCAACTTACATAGCATTCATTATTCTATCCCTTTCTTTTCCTTATTTTGACAATCTTATCCTATACTACCTATGCAGGATTTGTCAGCATACATTTTTTCCTTCATGTTCTTTCTCATTCTTTTGGCACAGCTATACTGTGCATAGCCTACCTTTCTTTTTACTATATAAACCCCTGTATTTTACATAAAACAACAAAAAATCCAATCCAGACTTCTTTTCTAATCTCAAGCTCACTACTCTGCTACTTGTGATCCAGTGTGGTCATAACACTTCCCACTGCTACCACTGTTAACTGCTGTCATTGTCACTCGTCACTTTTGAACGTCATTGTCATCCCTTTCAATTAGAGTCCTTCTGAGCACTACAGTCTGTGCATCAGGAGCCTGCTACCACTAGGAACCTCATTATCTTGTCATTCTCAAACCTACCTTGTGTTACAATTAGCAAGGTAGTGCTTGTCCAAACTCGCCACAAAGCCCCTATCTTCTTTATTCCAACTATCCCTATCTTCTTTATTCCAACTATCCCTCCTCCTCAAAACCCACACCCATACATCTCTGGGTTTGACTTTGAAGGATTGTTATACATACCACCCCACAAACAACCAGAGCACCCACTGTTCTAGGAGGCAAAGCCCATAAACAAGTTCCGTGGAATCTGGGAGGATTGTGTGTTAGTTTGTTTTTGTGTGGTTTTTCTAACTACAGTTCTCATCATCGACAGCGATACATCTCTCTGTGAGCCGGCTTTTCCCATCTCACTAACTGTCGTCAAGCCTGATAGAAAGCTAGCTTCATCACCAGCTCCCTCATCCTCTTTACCTCCCCTATCTTGTTCTCCCTCTCTTATTTGTCCTGCTACCATCCGGTTGTTGGCTCTATTGTGTTCAGACCACAAACATTCAACAGGTATGCATAATTTCTTTGACAGACTGTCTTTGCCTTTTATCTGGGCACTTACCAGAGGCTGAACGATCCATGGCTATCCGACTTTGGTACTCAGTGACTTCCACAGCGTGCAACCACAAGACCCTACAATTATTTGAAGGCAACCCTGGTACTTGAGTCATTATTGCAACGGTAGCCTTTGGGATGGGAATTAATAGGAGGAATATCCAAAAGGTAGTAAATTATGGTTTACCTTCTTTGTTGAGCAGCTTGGTGCAGCAAAAAGGATGGGCAGGGCAAAATCCAGATGATGATGCTGTCTGCATAACCTATGTAGAAGTGTCAGTTATCAGCAACATCACTGTGCACCTACAAGGAAAAATGTTGAAGCCACAATGAGTCAAATGTAAACAAACAGTCCAAACAACACCAGCAAGTGAGCCAGAAATGGAACCCAACTTGGTGCACTTTTTCAGCAATCATGTAAATGGCAGCTGCCTGCAGGTCGCTATCAACAACACTTACCAGAATCCAGGCGATCAATCACTCACTGATTGCCTCACTGCGAGGCGTTCATCTCTGTGTAGCCTGTGAGAACCGTACCATCCACCTGCAGCTATGTATGGCCAACTGCCTACTGAACTCAAACTTCCCCAACCAGCTTCACTGCAGCTCCCAGAATCCACTCAAGCAAAGGGCAAGTGCAAAGTCTTCAGTCCTTCACTCCCGCTGCCACTCACCAAAAACATGGTCAAGCATGCCCAAAAGTCATTGATGGACTTCACTGCTCAGTGCTGGGCTCTCAAGACAGGCCCTTTGTATTGCTGGATTCCCTTCAGTGCCTTCTGGACTGAAGGTGTCCTCTCAGCTCTCATGCACCATTTCCACCTTGTTTGGTTGCCTACCTACCTTTGCAATCTCATTGCCAACTGAATATACCTTGAAAAAGATGGCAAGGCATGGTGGGGTTTTCTGGAGAGCCTCATTTGCCGCTACAATGCTCAAGTCCTCAAGAGCAAGGTCAACCGGCAGAAACAGGCAGCAGTGATAAGGGCTCAAACTAAGAAAAAAAAAGGTAAGTACTTTATATGATTGGTTTTCCCAACTTAGTGCTAACTCAATCTAGCTAAGGAGGCATGGGCCTTGCAACCACAAGCCAAAGAAAACTTGCCATCTATGCTTGCACCCACATCCATCCTATCACCACCATCCCATTGCAACTTCATTGCCACATCTGTAACGACCAAAAATTTGTTACTCTGGCGCACAACTCAGACAAAGCTATAAAGGTAGTGAGGGGAGTGATTACCCTTGGGATAGGACCAAGTTAGTTGTGGGTAAACAACAGGTTTGTTTGTACATATGTACTATACAGTTGATGAAGGCAGTAGCTGATGATGTCATAGGGAACAGCCCGTGTGACCAGCTCCACTGCGTGAAATACTTGTATTCTAAAAATAAAGAAACACAGTGCAGCGCAAAAAGGTGGAGTTTAAACAAAAGGGAAAGTGTTGCATAGCACAGTGTGTAAAAACTACAGAAGAAAGTTGAAGAGGAGAAATTTAAAGGTCCAAAAATTGTGTTATTGTAACAACATCTCTAGAGATGTACAATGCATGCCTAGAATTGCCCCCTCTCCCTCAGTAAGTATCTTTCATTTATTGGTGGTGATGCACCCCTTTTTGTACCCTTGCAAGCCTATCTCTTCCCTCTCCACCCACTTCTGGCTCAAAAGTGCAAGCTCGAAGCTGCATCACCTGCTATAGCAGTCAAACAAACCTGGAGGGACTAAGTATTATGGGTGTTGTTACAATAACACATTTTTGGACCTTTAATTTTCATTCTCCTCTTTAGCCTTTTACTGTAGTTTTCACACTCCGTGCCATGCGGCACTTTTCCTTTTGTTCAAACTCCACTTTTTTGCGCCGCACTGCCTTTCTTCTTATTTTAGCTACAAGTCTCTCATGCAGTGGAGCTGGTCACACAGGCTAGGCCCTATGACATCATCAGCCACTGCCTCTATCAACTGTACAGTACACATGTACAAACAAACCTGTAGTAGTATATATAGACCAATAGATCCAGGAGACTCCTCAGTGAGTCCTCCTGTTGTTAACCAACAAACTCACTGCAGCCTAAGGGGTAACCACTCCCATCATCTTCTTTATAGTGTGTTTCTGTGTGCGCCAGAGTAAGTCACTCTTGGTTGTTACATTAGGACTCGCTTTCTTTACTCTCTCGCACGTTTGTGCAAAAAAGTCCCATTGGGCACCCAGACTCCAGGGTGAAGGAGATTTGGCTATTGTTTGGGAATATCCCGTATAGCAGATAAGTGCGCTCTTTGCCACGGCCTTGTAGTGCTTTGGGAGAAGAAACAATACCTTTGATACGCCGCCCCCAGCATTAAGGGGAGTACTTAGCTCAGCAGTCGGTGTGGAACCGCTGTTGATTAGAATTTACATACAAAAACTTCACTTTCTCTTTCCTCTGACCAGGCCGGGCACTTGCCTCCGCCAGTCTGGAGAAGGGTTGACAGCTTAACAAGCGGACCACCCCCTGACAACTGTTTGGACCAGGGTTTAATACTATAACTTTTATATACTTTTTCAAATACTATAGTGTGGGTAGTCGGAGATTGAGATCCGATACTCAGCTGGGAAGAGGTAGATCCGCAGATAGCAAGCGGGGACCCCCAGTTATATATTTTTTACTTTACAAAGAGAACAAGTTGACATGTTGTTGCAACCACAACAAGACGTCAATGCTCTGTTGCACAACATGTGTGCCCAGATCTTGGCATTGACTACGCAACTCGCCAAGCTGCAGGCAAATCCCCCTGCGGAAACCCCCTCGGTTGAGGAAAAGTTCAATAAGAAAGTCAAAGTTGTCGCTGACCCTGGCGCCTTTGAGGGAGACCAAGCGCGATTTGCCGAATGGTGGATTAAACTCCAAATTTGGGTCAAGGCAAACTGGAATGTGTTTGCTGATGACTCTGAGGTAGCCACTGCAGTGCTATCTTGACTAAAAGGATCTGTGGCGGGTCAATACGCCCAAATTAGATTACAGGAGTGCTACACTGCGGGAGTGTGGCCTACCTGGGATGATCTCAAAGTAGAGATCGAAAAATATCTCAAACTGCAAGCTGAGCGTGACTGGGCGCGTCAGCAAATCCGTTCCTTCAAACAAGGCAACATGAGGACGGATGATTACGTTACCCGGTTCCTGGCCCTCTCCATCCAAGGAGGGCTTGGCAATGAACACGCAGTAGAACTGCTGGAGCGCAATGTGAACCCCCACATTGCAAAACAGCTTTACCTGCAGGATATGAGAAGTGAGAACCTCTCTGAAGCAGCAGAGGAGGTTCAAAAGATAGGTTAAGGTTTAAGTTATTGACACCTGTCTATGCTACCAATCAACTTTGGTGCATGACACCGGATCAAGTTTGTAATAAAACTAAGTGAAACTCAGCCGCTGCCCGAGAGGCTATAGAAACGACTTTATTACTTACCTAAGTGAAACTACAATAGATGTTAGTTTAAGGTGATCTCTAATAAATGTAATGTAACATACCTCAGCCGCTGCCCGAGAGGCTATAGAAACGACTGAGGTATTCCTATACTAAACCCCCTACTACTTATAGTCGGAGGTGCTACTCGCTACATTATAATGACTCCTAGGAGAACAATGGTTACTCCATGGAGTGGTGGCAATACCTCCATGGAGAACAATGGCTGCTTTGGCAGAGACCGGGTTTATCCGGTTTTGTCAGTTTGATCAAAACGGAAACATTGAGAGATACAAACTCCAGATTTTTGCACGAGGTTTTACTCAAAGGGAGGGGATTGATTACCATGAGGTTTTTGCTCCGGTTGCAAACTTAGAGTCAATTCAAATTATTCTAGCCCTGGCAGCAAAGTACGGCCTAGAACTTGATCAAATGGACGTATCCACAGCTTATCTTTATGGAGAACTTGAAGAAGAACTGTACATGCTTCCTCCAGGGGGTGTTTCTATCCAACCTGGATACTGCTGGAGATTGAAGAAATCCATCTACGGGTTAAAACAAGCTGGTCATACCTGGAACAAAACTTTTGATCACAAGCTCCAGGAGCTCGGTTTCACAAGACTAAATGCAGAAACATGTCTCTATGTATTCCGGGACAACAAACAAATATGCTTTGTTGTTGTTTATGTAGATGACCTCCTCCTAGGAGCTTCATCCCGAAAATTCATGGATATCACAAAAGCCAAACTCGAATCCATATTCAAAATGCGGGACCTTGGAGAAGCAAAATACATCCTCATAATAGAAATCCAACGTGATTGTTCAAACACAACAATATCCCTATTGCAACGCCAATACATTGACACAGTCCTGGAGCGTACTGGAATGAAGAATTGCAAACCAGTATGGACACCAATGGCCCATGGATCAAAACTCCTTGCAAATGCTCCAGGGGAAGATATTATGCAACACGAGATGCATATTGAAGGGCGTCAAGTGTCATACCTCTCAATTGTAGGCTCCCTCATGTATGCCATGCTCAGAACCCGCCCAGACATTGCCTACGTTGTTGGAATACTAAGCAGGCATAGCTCAGCTCCAAGGAGCCATCACTGGGAAGCTGCAAAATGTGTCCTCCGATATCTGAAAGCAACCAGGGACATGGAACTACAATATGATGGCACATCAGGCTTTGTTTTTATCACCATCTGATGAGCAATCTCCTGGACAAGCAAAAGACAAAGCATGGTCGCTTTATCCTCCACAGAGTCAGAGTACAGAGTACATTGGATTGAGCAATGCTGGACAACACCTTGCATGGCTTCGGACATTTTTTGAAGAAATTGGACATGCTCAAAATGGACCTACAACATTGCACTGTGACAATCAAGCAGCTATCATTCTTACACGAGATCCACAGTTCCGTGCTTGCACAAAACACATTCAACGGAAATATCATTTTATCCCAGATGACTTAGTATCAAAGGGAGAGGCAGTAATCAGATACGTTCCTACAGGAGATATGGTTGCAGACATTCTCACTAAACCCCTCACTCATGAAAAACACTGGAAATTCTCTCAAGCTATGGGACTACGGTTGCACTTGAGTAGGAGTGACAAAATCGGATAAACCCGGTCTCTGCTAAAGCAGCCATTGTTCTCCTAGGAGTCATTATACTGTAGCGAGTAGCACCTCCGACTATAAGTAGTAGGGGGTTTAGTATAGGAATACCTCAGTCGTTTCTATAGCCTCTCGGGCAGCGGCTGAGGTATGTTACATTACATTTAATAGAGATCACCTTAAACTAACATCTATTGTAGTTTCACTTAGGTAAATAATATAGTCATTTCTATAGCCTCTCAGGCAGCGGCTGAGTTTCACTTAGTGTTATTAGCACCATGGTCAGATGAAACACCTTGATCTGCGATGGCATTGGTTGAGAGATGTTGTTGACTCTGGGCAGATTGCTCCTACCTTTGTTCCCACTGCTGAAATGCCTGCAGACTTGTTGACCAAGGCTCTTGCCAAGCCTAAAGTAGAAGTGTTCAGGAAGATGATGGTAGATCAGGGGGGAGCTGATGCTTGGGAGGTGCAGCATCAGGGGGGAGTGTTAGTTTTGGTGATTCTGCACCTTTGTGCTACCTATATATTTTCATTCCTTTCTCTATCTATTCTTCTATCATTCACTATTGATTGTGTTCTCTATTATTTTGCCTTTGTGGCTGCTTTGTTTACCTTTGTTTACAAAACTTCGGACAGTACTGCAGAGTCCAATGCTTCCTATTCTCTAGTTACTCACATTGGACTCTAGGTACTGTATACCTGTCATACTCTCTAATAATCCAGTTACTCACATTGGACTCTAGTTCCAGTCCCTGATTGCTCTCAGCAAGTGGCTAGACACTTCCTTCAAGCTTTGTTCTTAATAGCTGTCACACTCAGCGCACTGGCATTCCCTGATGCTAGTATCAGCCTCATATTCCTCCCGTTCTTTGCGATTCCTATCCAGTCAGGTGTGGGTGCTATTATAGCCTTGGACGCTATTGGTATATTGCGTGGTTGGAAGTAAGAGATTGTATTGCTACTGCTTTGATTTTGTTTTGCTGATCTCTGGCTCTGGTACAGGATATTATGCGCATTTGAGCGGCGCGACTTTTGGAGTGTTGTACTATTTGTATGGACCACAATGGTGGGATTTTATGAGGATTATCCACGATCCTACGGAGGAAGAAAAAGAAAAGTCGGAAGCATAGATGGCCATTTTTCATTGTCAGTATCCTCTCTACTCAATACTATTAATTATTGTTAGGTACTACTACACGTGCACCACAAGAATATAAAGATGATTCAATGCATCACTATACTCTTGGATTATCTGCAAGTAACTACGTCAGATTAAAATGAGAAGTCTTACAGCTCGTTCAAGCTTTTAGCAGCCTATTCCATTGCACTTGTAATATCAAACCTGTGCGAGAACTAGAAGTCATGTTATCCCTCCCAACTGCAAGCAGCCTATTCCATTGCACTTGTAATATCAAACCTGTGCGAGAACTAGCAGTCATGTTATCCCTCCCAACTGCACATTCTGTGAAAGTCCGGTGAAAATGAGTGGGTGACAAATGTAATGCGATTTTGGGAGCTATGGTACAAAAGGTCTTGAAAGGATACAACAAACTACTTCAGCTGAGCCTCCAACTGTTCGAACTGATAATCATCATGCGCCTTGCTCATAACGGCGTGCGCACGAACCTCGGCATGCCACTTATTATTTTCATTGAGCGCGGCTGGGTATCTGTCCTCTCCTTCCTTCCCAGCCCAATCGAAATCAACGAGAAACCCTTGCTCCTTGGAAGAAACAACATTCGTGTCACGCAGGTCTCCGAACACAAACCTATTCTCGTGCAAGAGCTTTAGTGCCCTTTTAACATCCCTCAAGACAGCTTCGGGAACAGGTTTGGGCCTTGAACTGTTTCGCAGTCGCCAGATTGATGCACCGTCTTCGAGATGGTCCATGACGACCATAAAAAGGCCCCCGATGATTGGCTCGCACCAGTGGAGCTTTGGGGCCAGTTTGGCATCGGATAAGAGGCGGTGGGCTGCTTTACCGTACCGACTCGCAAACTTGACGACGACCTCGGTAGCACCATCAGGGGTGGCAGCGTCACCAAGGGTAGCCCGGTACAGCGCGGTGGTCCCAACTCCCAGGTCTGGCAAGCTGGTCGAAATGTGCTCGCCGGTTCGCAAGAGGACACCGTGGTAGGTCAGGCACGGCAATGCATTGCCTGATACTGAGGTTGGGTCAGGGTAGATTGCCGCAATAGTTACGTGGTTGCCCTGAACTGCGCGGTAGTGCGCTGCCAGTGCCGCTCGACACGATGAAAGGCACCTGAAGATTCGAGCCGCATGGATGATGTTCTCGGACAAGTGAAATCCGGGGGTGATATTGAAGGCGACTAGCCTGGATGCGTAGATAGAGCCAACACAGACAGCCACACCAATCTCGATCCGATTTCCCGAGAGACCGAGAAGCAAGACAGGGAAATTGCAGGATCCTTGAAAGTGCGCAAGCTAGAAAGGACACGTCAACGGAGATACGAACGTGGATGCGTGCTGCCGCACCTGGGGGTCCGACACAATCTTGCTGTAGTCGGCAAGACTTTGAACAAAAGGATCTCCGCCAATACCAGGGGCATTTTTCAGCTCCAGGATTGTGACAGGGAACTCACCTTGCCACCAACTCGCATCAGGCTGGATGTTCCCCACCCGGTCAAGCCTTTCCTCCCACTGACCAGGCTCCCCCATTAAGTGGTCGACGTGCTGCCGAATGGCGTTCCGGCGACTGTCCTCATTGTGATAAGACATGATTGTACTGCTGAGGAAGCTAGACGCGTGGCTGACATCATGTTCGGTCACCTCGAGATCGCCAAGCTCGGCGAGGGCCCGTTGTAGGTGCGCAAGTGGCGGGCTGAACATGGCGGCTGGGACTTGATCGAGGCACACAGGATGGCCATCGGCATTGAGGAACTTTGCCAATGCATCAGCGCTCCTTACAACTGCAGATGGGGAGGGGCTGGATGATAGTTTGGCGAACTGCTTGCCGAGCTCTGCAAAAATAATGAGGATTGAACAAGTGACAAGTGGGTGGACTCGTACTTTTCTTAATCTGTATCCGAGACCGCGCTTGAGGATCGTCAACAAAGTCAAGTAGCTCCTTGACTGAAACGGGGTGAGGGGGCTAGGGAGGGGTATGGAAACACATGAAAAAACGCACTCTCAGCATTGGCAACAATGATATGAAGAGTATCATCTGGCAGGGCTTCGGTGAACACGTCTTTAATGTTACGTAGAACACTGAGCTCGGCTGCCTCTGGCTGGATGCGAAGCCACTGAATGACACGGTCTGTCAGATCCACCTCGGGCTCTTTCTTGACATCCGCCTATCCAGGGTCAGTCATTTGGCATCGTAGACTAGGTGGCAGACACACCTTGTACAGCACAAGGTCTCTCAGTGGGACATCGTAGTCAACCTCCTTGAGCCGCTTGTGGAACTCCCGCAACAGCAAATCGACTGTGTCATTGCCCTCAAAAATGATTTGCGTGAAAAACGGTGGCTCCACCGGAAAGTAGCAGCTGAGCTTGAGCTTCATGATGGGCATGGTTCACCTGTTTGGTTACGGCTGAATTCAGATCGATAGTAGTCTTCAGTCCCAGTCGGAAACGACACAATTTGTTAGTCTCCCCAGTCAGACCAAATTACTGATATGACAGTCGATATCAGTAAGGTCTGATCCGAACTAAGAGTGGCGTACCCCCCCATTCGGTGTCAATAACACGACTTCTTGAAACTTAAACCCGAGATCAGCAGAAACTCAACATAAACTCAGCAACTTGAAACCCAGCAAGCGCTAACTCAAACTGCAAGAGCATCCTCAGACAGCTGGCCCTCGTCTCCCCCAGTATTACAGCCAAACAAAGTCACGTGAAATCCACGTGACTTCTAAATTTCGTGTAATTTACTGTACTTGGCAATAATTTCTATGTGTTTTCAAGTTCCAACTCTACATCGCCTGCTACCTCTATACTTTCCTAATGGAATGCTCACAAAAATCATGCAAGAACATAGTTCCCGAGCAAGACATTGGTAGAAATGGCCTGCCATACAAGATGTGTTCCTCCTGTAGAGAAAAAGCAAGAATGGCTGTCACTGCACACCAAACAAAAAGGAGAGGTGACGAACACACAGATCCACCTCCACGTCAGGCACCTGCTCTGCACCAGGAGACTACAGACGAGGTGGGTAGACTTACTGGAGAAGGGACCCCTGAGGTCATACCTCCAATACCTGAAAGGCATGACAGTTCAGACGAGGATGGCCCTGGAACTGTAGGTCTACAACTCACCAAGTAAGGAGCTAACTAAGCCGTGTTAGCAGGCCGTAAAAGTCTATGAAAACAGTAACACATTGTTTTGCGCACTCCAAGAAGACTTCAAGAGCAGAGAGAGTGTGAGCTTCTTCAGCAGCTACCAGCTTGCAGAAGATCCATTTGTCGATGATAAAAAAAGAGTTGAGATGACCATTTGTCAGTGTGACGGCAACAAGACCACTGGCCATGGGAAATTGATGATCAGGTTGCCAAAGAGGCCTAAAAATGAAACTGTAGACCAGTTGGAATCAATGGAGCACAAGATAATGAAGGAAAAACGCACATTCTGTCCCAAAAATCATCGGGAGAAGATCATTGATATGATGAAAAGGCATTTCTGTGCCCATCCTCCCATCCCTGGATACTTGCACCCAAGCCGCTGAGGGATTTGTGACTGGGCAGTCAAGCAAATGTATCAATTTTGCGTCGTGAATGATCTACGTGAAGCCTGGGCATACCTCTGGGAGAACTGGTACAGGCTAGGGCGATGGGAATTGTGGGCACAATCATATCATGACGAGATTCCAGTGCTCAAGACCACAATGATTCTAGAGAGCCAGTAAGTCAGCTTACACATAACAAGGGACATTAGTAACTTACATTCAATAGTTGGCGTCGTATCAAACATGACATTCTTCACCATTTTCACAAGCCGCACGTTGACCTTCTGGCATGGGTCCTTGTCATGAAGCTGGCGCCTACCTATTATCGCAAGCTAGACCATTTGATGGATAACAAAGGCCGATATTGTGAACTTGCATTGTGGCGCAAGGCATTCAAGTGGGACTGGAAATGGGTGGCAACAACCCCAATTACTATGCCGTTGAACAATAAATACAGACCGAACACACTCACCTGGGTGTGTACCTGCCCACATTTCAGTACCAGCCGATTTCTCCTCTGCAAGCATCTTGTTCAAGATGTCCATGCTGTCCCCCCCTTGTTCTTACTTGAGGTCAAGCGTAATCAAACAACGCTGTTCTGGAAGCATCCAGCGCTCATTTTGCTGGACACTCCAACCAGCCATTTGAATAGTGATGACACCGTTTTGCTGACAAACATGGCTGCTGGACAAGGGGATTCAGACATCCGAGATGATAAGGAGTCAGATGATGAAGGAATTATTGACGTCGGAGGGATGGAGAATTGGTCTGTAGGTGAAACAATGGTGACTCGTGCAAAATTACTGCGGGATTTTGCAGACAGTATCCTCTACCAGGCGCAATTTAATGACCATCGATGGGGGGAGAGCTTGGAGCGGGAGGGGGCATGCTTGTTTCAGCTCGCCAGTCATTGCCTTGAGCATGAGCGTCAATTCAACTCGACAAGGGGAACTTCACCAACGACGTGGGAGAAGGCAACAACAAGCGCGATGTATTACCGCACACACCCACCATGCGCAGATGCCTTGAGTTGATATATTTTGTTGATTAATCTCACACGCACTTAGATATTACTATGTTTGAGTAATTATATTATTAATTTGTTTTCAGCGTGGGATTGTTTGGCTGTAATACTGGGGGAGAGGTACGACACTTTCCTCAGACTTGCCTTTCAAAAGTCATTATCCAGGCAGGAGCCACATATATATTTATCGAGGAATAAGGGTTTTGACAATATGAATGGTATCTAGCTTTTTTTTTAGTCTAGTTTATTTCTTAGCACAGTTTTGGGTCTTCTGTATATTTTTTCCTTATTATCATTATCATGCTACAGTACTTCACTGGTTTAGCCTTTGAAAGGCATACAATTTATAAAGAATAAGTAGTAGACTGCCCTTGCTGATATTTCATAGGGGCTATGTAAGTATGTATTAAGAACAAAGCTTGAAGGAAGTGTCTAGCCACTTGCTGAGAGCAATCAGGGACTAGAACTAGAGTCCAATGTGAGTAACTTTATTATTAGAGAGTATGACAGGTATACAGTACCTAGAGTCCAATGTGAGTAACTAGAGAATAGGAAGCATTGGACTCTGCAGTACTGTCCGAAGTTTTGTAAACAAAGGTAAATAAAGCAGCCACAAAGGCGAAATAATAGAGAACACAATCAATAGTGAATGATAGAAGAATAGATAGAGAAAGGAATGAAAATATATAGGTAGCACAAAGGTGCAGAATCACCAAAACTAACAGTATGTACTTGAATTTTAGTGGACCTGTGTTTCTCGTAAATGTGGCCGTTTCATGCCGATTTTGTGGTACCTGCCGACCATTCTCAGACTCGCCTTGTAAGCTTTATTGGTGCCGAATGGGGGGCTCCCACACGCCACCCTTAGTTCGGACAAGACTAACAATTTGTACCAAATTACATAGAATTCTCACGAATGAGCATATTTATATCTAATCTAATACAATCCTGAACATTTCCCACAATTTAGAGTTGAGAGTATCAACATTGACTCAATCAACAGACTTGCGTGCGATCTTGTGCACCAGACTGAGTGCACAAATTACAACAGTCAACCTTATCAACATGAAAGCCAAGGTGACCTATACAAAGATCCCATAACATTTGGACTTGACAATGTCAACCTGTAGACCCTGACTCGGACCACAAAGCTAGACAACATCAAGATTGCCATGGCATTTGTTAACACCTTAAAAGAGGCTCACCTTGAAGACCCCCATATGAAACTTGATCCTGGGGCTCTCAATCGACTGCAAAACCCCCTGCAAGAAACATGTCACCTCAAAAGTCCATTTGAGCAATTCGCACTCGATCTTTTTCTAGCAACTACCAATGCGTCTGAATAGGCATTAAGTATATGACGCCTACCACCAATTGCACCCTGAGAACATAGATAGGATCCAGTCACACTATTGAATTGGTGTTGAGTCGCTGGTGCAAGATATGTGTGTTAATACATGCATAGCATATACCGGACCCTTTGCTACATTGGACAAATGCCCAATGTGTCTTCAACCACAATACAACGAAGCAATGCTCATGTGATTCAAGGGGAAGAAAAAGGTTTCTTGTCAGCAATTCCATACAATGCCAATAGGCCCTCAAATACAAGCTATTTGGCGAGACTCAGACAATGCAACTAATATGAGGTACTGGGAGTTACAAACTCAAGAACTAAATAAAGAACTATTATAGAAATTTTTTGACTATTATAGTAATGCTATAGCTGTTATAGAAGCCACAGAAGCATGTTTAGCTATATAGAAAAATGGTTTTTCCTGATGCAGCCGCAACAAATGAGTTGCAATATCGCAAACTACACTTGAAAACGGGAATCAGCAAGCTGCCTATCTTTTTAGGTTTCACAGCATCTCAAATTCTTGGGATACCAAATGTCTTCTCTTTGAGTTCACGAATAGCATCCTCAGACTGAGTCTGATTTCTCGCAGCAATATACACCTTTGCATTATATTCCAATAAAACCTACCATAGGGTTATGACACCAGTCAGTGTGAGCAGATGTTTTGGGTAGAAGCTGGAAAGCACAAAACCACATAATCACCCCCCTTGTCCGTCTCCTTCCCAATCCCTGTATTGGCACCGGTTACAATTATAATCTTCCCCAACAGATCTGGAATATGCTTGGCCGCGAACTTGGACTGTGGAGGGAATGCCTCGCTAAACCACAATATAGCTGCGCAGAAACTCATTGTGATGAGCGTCTGGAAGTGGAGTTGATATTGGCAAGCTTGTGTTAGATTTGTAGAGACTCGCAGTCTTGAGTTCAATGTTCAATGTCCGGCTGTCAAGTCCCTGTGACACTGACTATGCGCGGATGAGACTTTCTGTTTTAATATATGTTTTTACACATCATTAGCACAGATCAGCACATTGAAATATAAGTTATCTTATGCTTGGGTTCACCTTGAGTTGCATGCGAGTCAAATTTGAAATCTGCCTTAAGTGTGAATCACTAATCACATTAATCACATGTGCAAGCCTGAGGCAAACAACTGGGTGTTAGTTTTGGTGATTCTGCACCTTTGTGTGTTCTACTTATTTCTATTCCTTTCTCTATCTATTCCTCTATCATTCAGTATTGGTTGTGTTCTCTATTATTTCGACTCTGTGACTCCTTTGTTTACCTTTGTTTACAAAACTTCTGACAGTACTGCAGAGTCCAATGCTTCCTATTATTTAGTTACTCACATTGGACTCTAGGTACTGTATACCTTCTGTACTCTCTCATAATACAGTTACTCACATTGGACTCTAGGTACTGTATACCTTCTGTATTCTCTCATAATATGGTTACTCACATTGGACTCTAGTTTCCAGTCTCTGATAGCTCTCAGCAAGTGGTTAGACACTTCCTTTGAGCTTTGTTCTTAACACTGGGCTCTTCTACTTCAATGACTTCTTTCCTTCCAGCATAATTAAATGCAAACAAATCACTTTGCACCTGAAGACCCCAACAAAAGCTTGACTTGTGTTTGCATGAAACACAGTCAGGGTAAAGCTCACCAAATTTCTAGGTCTACCTGGTATCGGCACCTAGCTGAAGCTACAAAATATGAGAAACAGAAGATTCAGATGGAAAAGGCTTTTCCCAACCTCACAGCCCTGTATGACTCCCAGCAGGCTGAGTCAAGTGCAGGCCCCAGCAGTGTAGGAGCACACAGCCTCATCCAAACATGTCAACAAAGGCGCTTGGGCAAATTATGCCAAATGGTGCAAACACGCTAAAAGTTCTGCCGTTCAAGTGAGTTATATATTCTGTTTACTACTGAGTTCTTTTTAACAAGGCCACCATGTTTACAGCTAAACGAGGCACCAATTCTATCCAAATTTCCACCACCAGATGCCTCCCCCCTGCGTTCTCTGCTGCAAGCCTCTGGGTCTTGTTATAGACCAACTTACAGCTTCTGTTATCCTTCCACAAATACAGCAAGAGATGCAATTTATTATGTTGGTACAGGATGCATCTTTTGATGACCCTATTAACAAATTGAGCCAGGAGGCTATGGAGCACCTCAGAATTCCTCTGCAAAACCCCATCCAAATTGAGGACCCAGCAATCCGTCATAGTTTCCTGAAGCTGTTTCCGACATCCTCAGCTTTCATGCAGTTGAGAAGACAATTGCCGAGTATAGCGGAGTTGAGTATGTTGAGCATGACATGGTCCAGAGTTGTGCATTGGCTTTACTGGCCCTTTTGCTAACCTCCATGCTTTTTCTGTGTGTGGGATGTCCTGATGGGGTCAGAACCAACTTCACGCTAGCAATGGATGTATCAGAACTGCTGCAAAAAAATTCACCACTATTCCCCTTGGTCCCCAGCTCCAAGCACAGTATTGATATCCCCAATCTGCTCGCAATATGTGTCACCTCCATGAGTGCACTCAGGGCATCACCTCTTTGAGAGACTGGAGAGATCCCAGTCATTGATGACATTGCCATGGGATTAGACTACCTTGGGCCAGTTTTTGATGGTGACATTAAAGGGAGTGACATTGTTCTTATGGTGTTGCTTGATGGTGCTCAACTTTATGAACACAAAGACTTGGATTGTTGGATGTATGTATGGATTATTGTGAATCTTGCCCCCAACAAGCGCTACCAGAAGATTTATGTCCGCCCTGGTGGTTTTATCCCTGGGCCTAACAAGCCGAAGAATTTGGACTCGTTTCAATGTGTCGGAATGCATCACATATCCACACTCCAGAAAGAGGGACTCAATATCTGGGATGCCAACCGCAATATTGTTTTTTGCTTGGACATCTACCTTCTTTTTCCAACTGCTGATGGCCTTGGCCTTGTTTATTGGGATGGAATGGTTGGACATAGTGGTAAAAATGGATGCCGCATATACTGTGGCATTCTGGGTCAGCACAAGAACCATGGTCAACATTACTATCCTATTCTCATTATGCCTCATGATAAATATCCTCCTGATGGGAGTAGACACCCAGATATTGTGGTTTTTGACCTTCCATCAAGTGGTTCTGATACATATGCTGACCATCTCAAGAGGCTCATATCCTCTCCTAATCAAACTCAATATGATAACTGCAAGACAGAAACAGGCATTGCAAAAGCACCTTTAATCCTTGGTCTCAGTCCCTCACAATCACTGGGTGTTCCCTATTGCATGACAACTGATATAATGCATTTTGCTGGTAACCTCAGTGATTTTTTGATTTCACTTTGGCATGGAATTATTGATTGTGATGGAACTGATGATTCTGAACAATGGGAATGGGCAGTTTTTGTCGATAATGAAGCTTGGGAAAGGTATGTACACATACAACATCAATTTCATGTCCCTAATATTGTACTACTGCAAGGTATAGAACATCTGTCTAGGATGCTGGGTCCCACCTACTGTAAGGACCATTTATTATTTTCTTATCTTCTCACTCGGTGTCCTGGTTCTCGAACACTTTTCCTGTCACACCTCTGGCTCTAGGGCTAAAGGTATTTTTTGCAATCCTGCTTCTTATAGCCCTAACAGGCTTTCTTAATCATTGTTACCACTTTGTATCACAGATCAGAGACTAGGTATTGCACCCAGCTAGCCAGCACAATGGGTAGGGGCTAGTAGTAGACATCTCGCCAACCAGCTCAAAGCCCCATCAGTGCCTGGATATACTAATAGATGCTTTAGTCAGGATCATACCTTATTATGAGGATACGGTTCCTGAACATGCGTGACAACATTTATTATTAGTATACTCTCTCACCTGCTGATTAATCTTCAAAGCCGTACAATAGTTATCCTTTTTTCTTATTGGTTGATTTTCCCCTCAGACCACTTTCTTCTTATTCCTCTTTTGGTCTGGGGGATAGACAGTTAGTTATATAAAGCCTTACCTATTCATGTATAGTTCCTTAGCTTTCTATAGAGGACTTGAGAGTAAACTCAGAGGTTTCTGGTGAGGAGTAAAGTGGATATTTCAAGTAATAGAAAGCTAAGGAACTAAGTGAAACTCAGCCGCTGCCCAAGAGGCTATAGAAATGACTTTATTATTTACCTAAGTGAAACTACAATGAACGTTAGTTTAAGGTGATCTCTAATAAATGTAATGTAACATACCTCAGCCGCTGCCCAAGAGGCTATAGAAACGACTGAGGTATTCCTATACTATACCCCCTACTACTTATAGTTGGAGGTGCTACTCGCTACAGTATAATAACTCCTAGGAGTACAATGGTTACTCCATGGAGTGGTGGCTATGCTCCATGGAGAACAATGGCTGCTTCAGCAGAGATCGGGTTTATCTGGTTTTGTCACTCCTACTCGAGTGCAACCGTAGTCCCATAGCTTGAGAGAATTTCCAGTGTTTTTCATGAGTGAGGGGTTTAGTGAGAATGTCTGCAACCATATCTCCTGTAGGAACGTATCTGATTACTGCCTCTCCCTTTGATACTAAGTCATCTCGGATAAAATGATATTTCCATTGAATGTGTTTTGTGCGAGCACGGAACTGTGGATCTCGTGTAAGAATGATAGCTGCTTGATTGTCACAGTGCAATGTTGTAGGTCCATTTTGAGCATGTCCAATTTCTTCAAAAAATATCCGAAGCCATGCAAGGTGTTGTCCAGCATTGCTCAATCCAATGTACTCTGACTCAGTGGAGGATAAAGCAACCATGCTTTGTCTTTTGCTTGTCCAGGAGATTGCTCCTCGGATGGTGATAAAGACAAATCCTGATGTTGATTAAGACGTGTCTGGGTCTCCAGACAAATCTGCATCTGAATATCCATAGAAATCCATGTCCATGGAGACATCTGTGCCATCATATTGTAGTTCCATGTCCCTGGTTGCTTTCAGATATCGGAGGACACATTTTGCAGCTTCCCAGTGATGGCTCCTTAGAGCTGAGCTATGCCTGCTTAGTATTCCAACAACATAGGCAATGTCTGTGCGGGTTCCGAGCATGGCATACATGAGGGAGCCTACAATTGAGAGGTATGACATTGACGCCCTTCAATATGCATCTCGTGTTGCACAATATCTTCCCCTGAAGCATTTGCAAGGAGTTTTGATCCATGGGCCATTGGTGTCCATACTGGTTTGCAATTCTTCATTCCAGTACGCTCCAGGACTGTGTCAATGTATTGGCGTTGCAATAGGGATATTGTTGTGTTTGAACAATCACGTTGGATTTCTATTATGAGGATGTATTTTGCTTCTCCAAGGTCCCGCATTTTGAATATGGATTCGAGTTTGGCTTTTGTGATATCCATGAATTTTCGGGATGAAGCTCCTAGGAGGAGGTCATCTACATAAACAACAACAAAGCATATTTGTTTGTTGTCCCGGAATACATAGAGACATGTTTCTGCATTTAGTCTTGTGAAACCGAGCTCCTGGAGCTTGTGATCAAAAGTTTTGTTCCAGGTATGACCAGCTTGTTTTAACCCGTAGATGGATTTCTTCAATCTCCAGCAGTATCCAGGTTGGATAGAAACACCCCCTGGAGGAAGCATGTACAGTTCTTCTTCAAGTTCTCCATAAAGATAAGCTGTGGATACGTCCATTTGATCAAGTTCTAGGCCGTACTTTGCTGCCAGGGCTAGAATAATTTGGATTGACTCTAAGTTTGCAACCGGAGCAAAAACCTCATGGTAATCAATCCCCTCCCTTTGAGTAAAACCTCGTGCAACAATCCGGAGTTTGTATCTCTCAATGTTTCCATTTTGATCAAACTGACAAAACTGGATAAACCCGGTCTCTGCCAAAGCAGCCATTGTTCTCCATGGAGGTATTGCCACCACTCCATGGAGTAACCATTGTTCTCCTAGGAGCACAATTGTACTCCTAGGAGTCATTATACTGTAGCGAGTAGCACCTCGGACTATAAGTAGTAGGGGGTATAGTATAGGAATACCTCAGTCGTTTCTATAGCCTCTGGGGCAGCGGCTGAGGTATGTTACATTACATTTATTAGAGATCACCTTAAACTAACATTTATTGTAGTTTCACTTAGGTAAATAATAAAGTCATTTCTATAGCCTCTTGGGCAGCGGCTGAGTTTCACTTAGTTTTATTACAAACTTGATCCGGAACACAGGTTTTGATATGATGGGTTTTACTCCCTTTGGAAGTGGAACAGTGTCATATACTGCATTAGTATTGAGACTTAGGAGTTCCTCCTCCAAGGCAGACTTCCATAATTCTCCATCCGGATGTGATAAGGCTTCCTTTAGTGCCCTTGGAAGGTCTGTGTTAGATGGACCGGTACTTGCTATTCCAGCAAAGAATGTCTCCTCTGTATCAGATGTTTCTTCATGAACCTCAGGATTGTTAGGTTTCTCCATGGAGTTGTTATGCTGCTCTTTTCGAGACTGTTCCTCATCTAGAGTCCTTTGATAATCTCGGTTTTTGTCTGCAGGATGGGTCTGGAAACTGCTTCTGCGTACTCCTAGGACTTCAGCAGGCATGACTGCTCTTTTAGGAACTTGTGCAGGTACTTCAGGGAGTAAACACATTTGTGTATTTGTTGCCCCACTCACTCCTGAAGGTGTTGAATCACTCCTCGGAGGCGTTGGATGACTCCTCAGAGGTGTTGTATGCCTTCCAGAAGCTGATCCAATGGACAGGCTGTCTAGCTGTATTCAGACTTTTTCCACATCAGCTGGCTGTATGTTGAGGGGCTGTCCTCCCACTGACTGTAACTCTACTTTGGCTTTCCGTTCTGAAGATGGCCAGTGTTCAGGTCTTGGTTGTAGAGACTGTGGTGGAGGGTGTCTTAGTTGATCAGGTGCTCCCACTGCTCTCAAAACATCTCCACAGAGGTATTGCCCCACTGCTCTCGGAACATCTTCATGCTGATATGGTTCCATTGTTTGTGGAACATCTCCTTGGAGATGTGGTTCCATTTGCCATTCATTTGGATCTTGGATCCGAGGGTCAGGATCATCCTCTTCCAATGTTTTTTGGTCTGGATAGTGAGCATTCTCTGGAATGAGTCCCTCCCACTGATCTGTGCTAGTGTCTGTGTTCCAGGGAGCAGTGTCATCCTTTTGTACCTTTCCGGATTCATTGAATATGACATGCTGACTGGAAAACACAGTCCGTTTTTCAGTGTCTAGGAGTTTGTAGGCTTGCTTTCCATGTGTGTAGCCAATCATTATAGCTTTGCGCCCCTTGGAGTAAAACTTCCCTTGCCTTTTGTCTTTCGGAATCAAGGCATATGCTTGGCATCCGAAAGGGCAAAACAAAGTTGGATTAACTCTCCTTTTAAACAGTATTTCATATGGGGTCTTTTCATAGAGTCCTGATGCTGGGCTGTGTACTGTGATATATGCAGCTGTTTGCATGGCATCTACCTAAAATGACTTTGGGAGCTTGGAATCATGGAGCATAGTGGTTGCTAATGTAGCCAATGTCTGATTCATGCATTCTGCAATGCCATTTTGTTCTGGAGTATCTGCAGCTGTAGTTTCTTGGATGACACCATCTCCTCGGAGTTGATTTTTGAATGCATTGCCAGTATATTCTCCTCCCCCATTGCTCCGGAGGAATTCTGTGTATAGTGGAGTGAAGTTTTCTTCTCCCAAATGAGTCCGGAAGAATGTTTGGACATCTTCTTTCCATTGCTTGTATCGTTTCAGTGCTTCACTTTTATGTTTTAGGAAATATATCCATGGAAATTTGGAGAAATCATCTACAATGATAATCCAGTACCGGAAACCCTCCCTGGAAGTTGGTTTGATTGGTCCTCCAACATCTGTGTGCACAATTTGTATGGGGCGCTTGGCTCGGTTTCCTCCAGTGGACTTGAAAGGTAATTTCTTCATCTTTCCTAAAGCACAAGGTTCACAAAACTCTGGGGTTCCGGTAAGGGTGTCTATGTTCTGGAGCTGTCCTTTTGTAACCATTCGTTGCAAGCGGTCCATTCCAATGTGTCCCATTCTTCTGCGCAACAAATTTACATCTACTGCTGCAAAAGCTGACTCCGGTGTCATGCACCAAAATTGATTGGTAGCATGGACAGGTGTCAAGAATGAAGCGAATATTCAAAAAGAGTTGCCTTTGCGCCACACAGGCACAATGCCACGTGGAAGAGTAAGTAATATTGCCTTTTTTGAATCTGTGGCTGATCAGCACCACCTCTATTAGGCAATTCAGTCACGCTCACCTTTGCTTTTCCACTCGGTACTTTCCGCATTTCAGCATTTCTGCAAATTTTTACATTGCCACTGGCTACACATTGCATTGCGCCCTCGCTTTTGTCGTTTCCTTCACTCCCCTTCCTTTTCCTAGCCCCACCATGGGCCCCTTCCTCTCCTTTTTATTCTCACCTGACGGTCGTTTCTGGATCCCCATTTTAGTTCAACTACTCGTCACCTCCACCCTCCTCCTCCTCATCTTCTTTGCGAGCCCACTTTTTCTGATGTCACCACTTTCTATCTGCTGTCATGCACCAAAATTGATTGGTAGCATGGACAGGTGTCAATAACAAAGCGAATATTTGAAAAGACTCGCCTTTGCGCCACACAGGCACAGTGCCACGTGGAATAGTAATTAATATTGCCTTTTTTGAACTTGTGGCTGATCAGCATCACCTCTATTAGGCAATCCAGTCACGCTCACCTTTACTTTTCCATCCGGTACTTTCCGTGTTTCGGCATTTTGGCAAATTTTTGCATCGCCACTGGCTACACATTGCATTGCGCCCTCGCTTTTGTTGTTTCCCTTACTCCCCTTCCTTTGCCTAGCCCCACCATGGGCCCCTTCCTCTCCTTTTTATTCTCACCCGACGGTTGTTTCTGGATCCCCATTCTAATCCACTTGTTCATCACCTCCACCCTCCTCCTCCTCATATTATTTGCACCCCCACCATTTCTGATGTCACCACTTCCTATCCGCTTCCGTTGCCAATCTGTTGACTACCACGTGCCACTGCTGATATCAGCAAAGCCCCGGCGGCCGGTCCAAATAGGGCAACAGGTCCATCTTCATGACATCGATCTGCCATCACATACTATCAAAACATCAGTCACTCGTCTTGCCTGGTTGGAGCGTGGGTGGGTAGTTTTTGAGCTGGAGAAGGTTCATCCCCTTGCGTTGCCCATGTTCATCGCTGTCCCATTCACTTGGGTACACTTATCTTTTGTCCATCGTCTTCGCTACAGCTACACCTACCACACACTGTCTGGGACTCACTTGTTCCAAATTGGAACTACTCCCCTCCCTCCCTCGCTTGACCAGGTGGTCCAGTACAATCAGTCCATTGGTAAAGCCGTGGAACTGTCAGATTTGGACTAGGTGGTGGACCGGTGGCTCCAGTTTCTTTTTTTCAGCAGAACATTCATTTACAGTGCAATTATTTTGATTTTTGAATCATTTTATGGACAGATTTTTTTAGAATGCCTGACTGACAATAAAGGAACTGTGTTGATACTGATATTGTTTTTTCTTTATACTCTTTTACTGCATCTTCTTATGACATCACAATTTTCTTGCTCTTTTTCTCTTATTGGACTTTATTCTTATGACTGTACAAACCTGTGACATTACTTACATAGCATTCATTGTTCTATCTCTTTCTTTCCCTTATTTTGACAATCTTATCCTGTACCAACTACGCAGGATTTTTCAGCATACATTCCTTCCTTCATGTTCTTTCTCATTCTTTTTGCACAGCTATACTGTGCATAGCCTACCTTTCTTTTCACTATATAAACCCCTGTATTTTACCTTGTAAAAAAAAACAAAGCACTTGATTCCAGACATCTTCTCTAATCTTAAGTTCACTACTCTGCTACTTGTGATCCAGTGTGGTCACAACACTTCCCACTGCTACCACTGTTAATTGCTGTCATCGTCACTTCCCACTTTTGAAGTCATTGTTATCCCTTTTGATTAGAGTCCTTCTGAGCACTACAGTTTGTGCGTCAGGAGCCTGTTAGTTTTGGTGATTCTGCACCTTTGTGCTACCTATATATTTTCATTCCTTTCTCTATCTATTCTTCTATCATTCACTATTGATTGTGTTCTCTATTATTTCGCCTTTATGGCTGCTTTGTTTACCTTTGTTTATAAAACTTCGGACAGTACTGCAGAGTCCAATGCTTCCTATTCTCTAGTTACTCACATTGGACTCTAGGTACTGTATACCTGTCATACTCTCTAATAATAAAGTTACTCACATTGGACTCTAGTTCTAGTCCCTGATTGCTCTCAGCAAGTGGCTAGACACTTCCTTCAAGCTTTGTTCTTAATAGAGCCTGCTATCACTGGGAACCTCATCACCTCTTCATCTTTGTCGTTCTCAAACCTACCTTGTGCTACAATTAGCAAGGTAGTGCTCATCTATACTCATCACTAAGCCCCTATCTTCTATACATTCAACTATCCCTCCTCCTCAAAACCCACACCCATACATCTCTGGGTTTTACTGTGAAGGATCTTCATACATACCACCCCACGAACAACCAGAGCACCCACTGTTCTAGGAGGCAAAGCCCATAAACAAGTTCCGTGGAATCTGGGAGGATTGTTTGTTAGTTTGTTTTTGTGTGTGGTTTTCTAACAACAGTGCTCATCATCGACACCGGGTTGATTTCAGGTTTTGCTTGGATGTGATAAAGTCCTCGCTTGTGTAACGCAGTGAGGATAAGTTCCTCCTTTTTGCGAACTTCACAAGCATTTGACCCTGCTGGAAAAAGTGTTGATAACCCCATTTTGGACAATTTGTGGACAGAGACAAGTGCTAACGTGAAGTTTGGCACAAGTAAGACATTTGACAGTGCAATATTGTAGTCCTTTTTGCCAACAGTTGCTTGTAGGATTACTTTTCCAATGCCAATGGCATTTACAGAGGATTCATCCCCAAAACTGATTGTCCTCGGAGGATGCAGAACATGGTATATTCCTGGCTCAAACCAGGAGCGGTGAGGGACCATGTGGGATGTTGCTCTGGAGTCAATAATAATTGTTGTTTTGGTCTTATCGGGTTCCGACACAAGGTAAGCTTGAATGCGTTTAGCAAGGGGTTTGGAAATATGTACATGTTCCAATGCAATATGACTCTGTTCCTCCTCGGAGTCAGATCCAGATGATTTCTCCGCCGTATTTGCCTTTTCCTTCTCTTTTCCTTTATCCTTGTGTCTTTCCTTTTCCTTCTTCCTTTGACCTTTTTCAGCTGACTGAAGTATTTGACACTCCGAGGTGTTGTGTGATTTGGCTTTGTGGAAGTTACACCATTTCTCCTCGGATTTGAGTGCTGATTTGGAACCTCCAGGGACCTTCCCTGACTGTCGTGCAACTTCTGCAGTGATCCGGATCTTAACTGCATCAAAGGTAAGTTTATTTCCTTCAATCGTGTTGATTACTGATGACTGAAATATTTGCCATTCAGGAGTGCATGGGAGAGATTGGAGAAGAGCAAAAGCCATGAGTTTGGTATCAACTCCTAGTTTCATTCCGGAGAGGTGTGAATCAATTGTCCGGATTTTTGCAATGTGGTCCTGGATAGGTGATGTCCCATCCCAGGACAATTTGGTGAGTTGCTGGAATGAATAGAAGGCCAAGGCAATGTTGGATGTTTGATGGAGTGAGACAAGTTTATCAAATAACTCCTTGGAGCTGGTGAGGTCTCCAGTCCTCATTAGGAGGGCATCAGAGATGTGGTCCTGGATGATTCCATGTGCCTTCTCATCCTTAAGTATCCAGGTGATCTCAGGATCCTCTGAGGAGGTAGGTTTTCCTGGTGAGGGCTTAAGCTCCTCTCCAGTAACAAGCTGGAGAATGTTTTCCCGACATAGCTTTGAGATGATCCAGAGTTTCCATTTATTTACCTGTTAATGATTATATACCGTGTACTGCCAGTACCTGATTCCCTGGGCTAGAGTTGGCACGCCGCTAGCGGGCACGCAGGACCCAGAGCTTGGAAGGGCGCTATGGAGTTGGCTCGAAGAGCAGGTTTAGCACTTTTATAGTGATGATACACCTGTCAATGCCGAATTACTATGACGTGCGTGAAGCTCGTGACGTGTGACCCATGTGACAGCCTTGCAGAAATGTTCGGGTTCGATTCGTCAACGTTTCATGACTGCTTCGGCCTCGGGCACGTCGATGAGGCTCACCGATAGCCGCATCTCCAAAGTCCTTTGTGTTGCATGCAGTGGATCTCAAAGCCACATGGTTCACCTTCGAATCCGCTTTGAAGGTTTGTCACCATCCGCAATAGAACATGGTTTCCTGCAGAATTCGAGCCAGTGGATATAGAACCATTTGTCACTATCTTAGGTTCGTTGGAATCAACCTTCTTGTGACTGACAGGAGATAGGTAATGACAAACCTCAGGTCGAAATTGCAGAGTACTTTTCCTTTGGATCGCCCTTCAGTAGTCATTGATACGACTCGGATCTTCCGTAATACCAGCGCGACCTTGCGAATCATACTTAGTAAATCAAGAAGCAGCGTCGCCGTTATGGCGCGTCATTGCCCGGCTGTGATTCTTAGAACACTAGAAAACCATGAAGCATTCCCAAGTTTCACTACGAAACTTAAATCCTCGACCTCACGCAAGGCCAGACAGCTAAATATAGCACACTTTCCCAAGTTATACACGCAGAAGTCCTTCTTTGCGTGTCGCGCTGCTCAACACGCCAATCTTCCCTGATAGCATTCCACGAACGACAAATCATTGATAGTAATCATCGTAATATCAAAGTGACAAATGGGCGCAGCATTATCTTGGGCTAGAGAGGTTGTACCTCCCAAATCTAAATTCTCTGTCAATAACATACCGGATCTGGCTGGGAAGGTAATCATTGTCACTGGCGCTAAAACGGGAATCGGAAAAGAGACCACCTTGATGAGCGTTCATTAAAGCGCGTTCCTCTTCCTTCTCCTATCCAGGCCTTGAAATGAGAATGGTACGATCACATACATGTGCTAACGACCATAATGCAAACTCTTTTATCACACAATGCAAAAGTCTATGTCGCAGCCAGAAACCAGCCTCAATCGGAGGAAACTATCCGTGAATTGAAGGACAAGACAGGAAACGAGGCAATCTTCCTCAAGCTCGATCAAGTGGCCGCTGAGGAGTTTCTCAGGTATTACTCACTCAACTCCCCAGGTCACGACTGGCCCACTAACGCTAACGAACTCACCTTTTCATCCGGATAGCAAAGAGACGCAGCTCCATGTTCTCATTAATAACGCGTAAGTCCCAGATCCGAGAAAAAGGTCCTATGCAAATCCTTTCACTGATATTGACTCGGCTAGTGGCGTGATGTTTCCTCCAAAGGACCTCTTAACCGCGGATGGCTATGATCTCCAATTTGGTACCAACGTTCTTGGTAGAAGCCCCTTTTTTTCTTCGTTTCATACAGACAGTAATAGTCTGCGTTGTTCCACAGGCCATCATTACTTCACGAAACTTCTCCTTCCAACCCTAATCTCAACAGCCCAAACCTCCCCAGACGGCAAAGCACGCGTGGTCACCGTTGCCTCATCTGCGCATCTCTTCGGTAGCCTCGATTTTGCCACATTCAAAGATGGCCCAGTTCGGAAGAAAATGAGTCCCCAGTCATTATATGGTCAAAGCAAATACGTGAGGCCTCTTCAACCCTGCCATATTGTCGTTAATCCGGCGTGACCTTTCGTCTGACTGGTGATATAGGGAAACATTGTTTCTGCTCTAGAACTCGCAAAGCGCTATGGTAACCAAGGCATCGTGTCTATTGCCTTGAACCCAGGAAACATCCGTTCCGACCTCCAACGGTACGTACCAGATTTTGCTCGAAAAATAATGGTGCGTGTCATAAAAAAGATTTTATCTGGTATGCGACTTCTCACTCTGATCGTTCACAGAATGCGGTACTCTTGTTTGACACCCCACAAGGCGCTCTCACGCAATTATATGCGGGGACTGCACCTGAGGCCGCCGGACTCAACGGCAAGGTAACTTTCTGTCTCTTCAAGCTCGCTCTGCCCTTGTTGATGTTGCTGCGTCTGATTTCCAGTACCTTGTCCCCTGGGCACGACCTGGGATCCCTCGGCAGGGTACACAGGACCCGAAGCTCGGCCAGGCACTGTGGGAGTGGTTGGAAATGCAGGTCAAAGACGTGTGAATCACGTTGCTATAGGACAGTTGCTGTATTTCCTTCACTTTATGCCATGCAACTTTCCGAATCCTGAACTTAAATCTGTCATCACTACTGTATTTCCCCTGTTTAAACCATTCGTTCGATGCTACTTATTCCATCTGAGTCGTCCACTATATCCACACTGATCGGTGTGAGTAATCTCTAAATAATCAGCTTTCAAGAATAGTGTGACTGCAACACATAGTCCTTTTTTCTTCTGCATCTGCGACAAGAAAGCAATGTTTTATATCTACGTCCTTTATCAGTTCCGGTAGCGCTGGTAGCGCTGGAAAGTCATACTTCTTCATGTTCGTCGGAAGAAGAAAAAGACCCGAGGGGTATAAATCGCTTTGCGGTTGCACGAGAATGATGGAACTAAAAAAATATTAAAGAGGCTCAAGTTAGCGGTGCCCCGAGCCAATGTGAATTAGTGCATTGCTCTTGTTTTGTCGACAAGACCGCCAGCCATCTTTGGAGGAGAACGTTGAAATACATACGAAGGACATGTGCGCTTGCCTATCTCGCAAACTTATTGGTTTCAATGACGACGACGCCATCGAACCATAACCAACGTCCGAAGACGGAAAGGCACAATTTGCGCTGTAAACTGATGCCAGCTGCTTCGAGTGGTTGCCACGAGATATATCGCTGACTTTTGTAGAGGGCTCGGCAGTGTTTGAGTTCGATGTTTTCGAAAAATGATATCCAGCATCATGTCTAGTATGTGGGATACCCGGGCCCATAAGCCACTTATCTTTGTGGCTCAAAACGTCATCATCTCTAGAAGTGGTTTTTGATTCGACTTGTGACAATTGGGCTGGCTTTTTGTGCATTTGAATAGGGCTCGACGAAGGGACGGACGAAAGGGGGGACAGACTAGCGGGAATATCGTGACGGCTTGGAGTAGCATGAGAAACATGTTGTTCATCGGGAGCATGTGCAGCTTGTGCAGCTAAGGAAGACATCGCCGATGATGACCTTAGGGTAGGAGCAAGGGATTCCAATTGGGATTCGGCCGGTACTTGTCGAGGAACTATGGGAGTTACTTGATTCTTACCTGACTCCCTATTGATAGGTCTTGGCCGTAGCTTTGCTCGTGTCCTGGCCTTAGATGATTCAGCTGACGGATCAAGTTGAATTGCATGGCCATGGGATCCATTTGCTTTGGCCGCGACAAGTTTCTTACGGCCAGGACCAGGGGCGGAGGTCATCATGATTTGAGTGGGAGCCTGAGAGTCGCGTTGTGGGTGATGATTGCCTGTTCCCGATAGCTCAGAATAACCCATGCGGAAGGGGCCACTAACAGGTTGTCGTATCTCAGACAGAAAAGGAGAAATTGGATGCGCACTGTGAATTATACCGCCAGAAGTAGTGATATTGGGGATAAAGAGGTTTCCTGCTTCGTCACTACTCAGGCTCACAATTTTCGGTGGCGATTGGCGGGGGGATAATTGGCAATATGGAAGGTGACCGAGGCGGAGAATCGATGCGCATCCTTTTGACCCTTTTCTTACTTCCTTTTGTGTTGTAATTATGTGGAGAAAGATCAGGAAGAGGTCCATGATTGGAGAGTGTATCAACGTCCGCCACAGATGTGGCACGTTTTTTGGGGACCAGCGGACGTGACTCTGCGTGAGATGCCAATGGTGGAGAATGGCAATAAAGGCCTTGTAGGACTTCGACAGATTTGGTCTTCATATCATCGATAATTTTCGCTTGCATGATGTCCAGAGTCGACGGTATACTTGAGACACTATTCTTTATGACTTCAATAATATTCGTTTTCATCAGGTCCAAAGCTGTCGAGATACCAGATATACTAGGATTTAGCGCGTCGATAATACTGGATTTAATCTGTTCTAAGTGAAATTGAGGTATGTCAGAGTTCATAGCATCCGATAACGAAGAGATTTTCGAAATGTTAGTGTTCAGAGCGTCTACGATGCCGGACCTCGCTTGATCGATGTGGAGTGGAATAGCATGAAGAAGGGGTGGGACAGATAGAACACTAGTTATCAGTGCATTTTGCTGCTCTTGAATCATTTGGATTGTATGCGTCTGGGATTGCATCAGCTAGATGATCTCATGGTCAGAGCGCATTCGCCAAAGCTGAGGTATGGCATCAAACAGTACCGTTTGCAGCGCATCTGTGCGTTTTTCTAGTGCCTGGAATACAGCTTCGATCGATGTTTGTGACTTAAGCATAAGTTCTAGTTGTGCAGATTGAGCAGGTGCGCCTATACACTTCTGTAACACAGCCTGACATCTGTTCGCTGTCGAACGACCACGCAGGCAGTACGTTATCGACGCTTTGATTAGTATTTGTAAGAAATTTAGACCTGGCTAACAAGACTTACAGATGTCGAGCATCTCTCCCATGATTTTGTCTCGATCACCTTCGAACATTCTCTGTACGGTAACCAGCTCTTTCCTAGCATCTTCGACACCACCAGTGAGTTTATCCACACGAGCTGAGAACTTTTCAAGGTTAAGTTGAGTATCATATAGTAACATGCGCATAGATGCGCCTGCTTTGTCGAGCGGAGCTAATGGAGGAACAGGGATCGTTGTTTTCGCTGTCGTTGAGGTCGATTGAGACATTTCCTTGCCAAGAATGGCCCATAAAGCACTTGAAGAGGAAGAAAATACTGGCCGCTTCTTTGAAGTAGCATTTTCTGCCGATGGTCCAGGTAAAGTACTCATGGCTGTAAGGATTAGCCCTGTAGAAATAGGGAACATGAGGGAAACCAACGCGATGACATCACGTGCGATGAGCAGGTCATTCACGTGCGAGAAAGACAAAACTCCAGTTGATTTGCAGAGAACAGGATAACATTGTAAATGCGACATATTGGTTTATGTGGTGAGCTATAGTACACATTAGTATCGTGAGTCCATTTCCGAGTGCACCTAGTGTAACATGGCGAAAGTACACTCAACGGGAGAGTGGGGATGCAAGAGAAGGTGAGCGTAACTTGAGACAGTCGATGATCTTGAAACGTTAAGAAACTAGTTCATAGAGGAGGTAGAGGACGTCGGCATTGTGGGCAGATATTCTGTAAGTAACCACGTGAGTTTCCTGCGTATATTAATAGAACGTGTTTAATGACCTTAATAGCAAGCCACTAAAAGGAAACAATTAGTAAATGTCTCTAACAACGGAATGGGACTATTCGTACCTTTTCGAGACATTCGGTATGCTTTTGAAGATCATTGTCAAAAGAATTATTAAAGGTGTATGTCGGAATTAAGATCATACTAGCACCCACGAATAGATGGCTACACGGCGCAAGACTGTAGTTTCTGCGTGCACTAACTTTGTGTAACAATCCTCCAGCAACTTGCTGGCGTTGTCGTGGATCTTCAGCATAGATAACTTCCATGCAGATGGCACAATCTCCCAACGAAGAGTCGGGCGACTCTGGGTCAGAAACACCAGAAGACGGAATCGGTGGGTGATAATCGTACATCTTCGTACTGGTAAACTACATGTGAGAGTAGATGAGATACCGATCTAATACGACGATATAACATGGACGTACCCGCTTTGGAAGGAAGAATGTAGGTCCAAGTTGCTCTTGCAGTATCAAAACGATGACTTGCATTAGTATGAAAACTGCAAGGATGTATATCCATGCTGGATATATTAAGAGTTGACGAAGATAATTATTAGTGACAAACACCAGCAGGTATAGATAGTCGGACTTACGTCGACGATCCACATCGAGAACATTCTTGGGACAAGCTAGGAAATCTGCAAAATGGAGTCAGCCATGAGAATGTAATACCAGGTAGAATAGACGTACACAACGCAAAATAAAGTCTGCAAATTGTGGTACCCACTAAGTACTCCTTGCTTAATGCGCTACTCCTGCTCCGTCTAACGGACCGCACGATTTGTGGCAACCAGAACGACGAGTACATAGTACCGACGAAAAACAGTGCCAATGAAGGTGTAACGATGACGCGAACGACGAAAGTGAGGAAGAAAAACATCCCTAACCCTAAGAGAGGTCTCGTCAGCTATAAATACCAGAACACACGATACGGCCTACAGATGCGAGCCTGGGGATCAGAACGCAGATGTTGCATGAAGAGGCGGAAGAAGCTGGGTTCAGAAGGAACGGAAGGAGTGGGAGGGGCTGCTTGTGGTGCCTGCGTAGGTAAACTAGAATCCTCCTGAGGTGAAGGTGGAGTTTGACGAATGGGAGAAGGAGCTGGTACGACATCTTCTGGGGCTTGTACCTGATTGATGAGAATGGAGAATTGCTGTAAACCGACGGAAATTTTAATCAAGGCCTAGGGCGCTGCTGCTATTAGGATTACGCTCACCGCTTCATAAGCGAACAGCATGCAAGCTAAGAACGCAGGGGCAACAAGTGAAAGCGATGGCCGTCCATCAGCGAGAATGGCAAATGTAATATGTCCTGCAAACGAAACGGCGTCCACTATGGCTTGGGTAAGGAATGACCAGCGAGATAAACGAGAAATGCCAGCGGGCGTTCGGCTGCGGTCCATCTGACGAGAAAGAAGAACGAGAAGAACGAAGTAGGCGAGTGCTGCCGTCCCGGCATCTGGTTAAAGATAAGAGGAATGATGAGCAACACAAACAAAAAATAAGATGATGAACTGACAGGTTGTAACTTTGCGGAAAAAAGTGCGAGACCTATTGATTGCAATGTCAGATCTATAAGGAATGCTCTACATGTGTGCTCCTACCTCAAACCCTCAGTGTTGTTGATATGGTAAAGAATGCCACATTCCTTGCTCAGTAGTACACCGTTAAGAGTTAACTTGGGAGACTTGACAGTCCATTTTCCAGTGGGTCTCTGTAGTTCTTCTTCCAGCTCATCCATGAGCTGCTCCGGAACTTGAGATGGCTCTATCTGAGAATATAGGGTGAATCCGCATTTTGATTTGCCGCTGTTGTCTGTAGAGAGATTAGCAAGATAGCTCCCTCAGGGACTAAGAATGATTGACATACCATCGTTGTTGCTGTCTTGGTCTATGATACCTTGATCGATCATAGTCTTTAGCTTGTTGATCCTTGAAGCAATTTCAGGTTCTACAGCGTGTGCTGTGGCGTTTTGGTAGCCCTCGGGTACTATGGATGGCAGTAGGCGTATATCTATGTTTCGGCTGTACAGCAACATGTGAGTACGACGAAACTCTGGTAAATAAGAGATATTACCCGATTGGCTCTGCAAACCCATAGATAGAACCGTTTCCTATGATATGGACGCCTTCGAAATCAAGTCTCATATCACCTACATTTTTAGGATCAACGAGATCAATTCTGCCCTAAATGTGATGTTTGATGTGTTGGTGAACAAACAGATACGAAATATCGAGTTGACATACATGAATCATCGCTATTCTCGCTGATGCATTGTTCGCCGCAGTGACTTCCACAGGGGTGCGAGCCATCAAACTCCAAGAAATCTTTTCTGAACCAGACCAATTCCATGGCCCTATTTTCTGTAGTACTTCAGTCATATTAGGATCAGCCATGTAGGTCCGGGCCAGGGACGCCCATGCGAGGTCTGAGGTATTGGGATGAGAGAGGCTGGGAGGAGTGACGTTGTGGTAGTTTACATCCCCGCGAATAAAACCTGTCACATTGGGGAAATACGACGAATGCGATGGGTCGAGTTGCGAGCCAAATGTCATGAAAGACTGTAGCAGGGGAGCCACAGATGAGTCTGGTGCTGACTACCTTTGGACTCAGACATTGTTCTACACAACCCAGTCAAAAATAGCACGCACTAGAGTAAAATTTGACTCCGTCCCATTCATCCACGCAGTAAAATTGGACATTTGGTAGTTCAATGACTGGAGTGCATCCTGATAATGGTTCCGTGCGAGAAACTCGTCTCCGCTGTGATTGGTGAGCATGAAAAGCATGAATATTATGAAAAGAAAAGAGGGAACAGAGCTCCTTTGGTTTTGTATCCGTACGGCTTCTGGAGGATTGACGGTTCCTTCATTGCGGTCCATAGCGTGCACCGAGCAAGTCACGATGTAACTTGACACAAACGCTCAGCCACAGCCTAGTATGTGTGGGGAAATCTCTCCAGCCACGCTCGCGTTCGAAACTCCGCAACGCGTCGAGCTCAACGATGGCAACGACATCGGCGTCGGACAGTAAACGGTGGACACATTTCCACTCGGCATTACAGCTCGCCATTCAACGTTCTGCGCGCCAATGGACGTACATTTACATATATCCTCGTTGCCACATTTACCAGATGAATTTGACGATATGATGAAACAGCTATGAAGACTTTACCGAATATTTTTCTCTATGGTGCAAAGAAGAACCAAATGGCGCGTCTGCTGTGTTTAATGCTGTCTCAAGGCATATGGAATCTACAATATCTGTACGTGTCTTGGTCTATAACTTGTCAGGGTACACTGCTCATAGCGAGGATTAAAGAACAGTTGTGAAGACCTATTCAAAGAGTATAATGTTAGGGAGAGTATCAACATATTGCATGCTGTCGTTACAGAAGCTCGTGCACGAAAGCAGCGCGGAGAACTATCGGGGAAAGACGTTTGGAAAGAGGATTTACAACCTCGAGCTGCTGGTCGTGCTCATGTGGTGCCTATTCTAGAAGGGGAGGTCGATCGCCTGAAAGCAACATTGAAAGCTGTACGACAAATTTTTTCTGCTCATTCTCATACTCACAGTATATGTTTTATGTTAGCTCGAAGAAGAAAATCTGAAACTGCAAGCTCAATTTCAGGAGAATGTCAGGAAACAGGAAGAAACAGATGCGAAGACGACCGAGCTTCTAGATATTCTCGACGATGTATGTTCCATTGTCGTTCTTCCGTTTTCCAAGCTCACTTGAGTCATAGATCTACCACAAGTGGAATAAACTTCCCCACGAAGATATGGAATTGTGGACACTCCAGACTGCTGAATCATTAGGCTCGACACGGCCACCATGATCGGGGTTGGCGTAGTTTTTCAAAGTTTCTTAACATCTTAGCCGCTAAGCTCGGTCGAAGGTGACTGAAAATCAACGTAGCAGAGAACGGAAAGCCGATAGAAAGAACACCATACAACTTGCCAAGGACAGGCATCAAGTTTGAACACATCTGGGAGAATAATCTTGCGCCCCAGCCAGACGTCCAACTCGGATGACTACTTATGAATGATAGTAGTCGTTGGGAACACGTAGCAGAGTCAATTTGGGTACAACGAGGGTTGTATATTAATATACTAAGCTTCCAAAGTTTCCAAAGGGGTGACAGTTCCAAGTGTATTGCCTACAAAGCACAAACCAATTGACAGTTCACTCTCAGTAAAAACAAAAAGTCGGCTAAAGTTGTGTGAAAGTCAGACTAATGGTTGAGGCGCTGTACGGGAACAAAAATGAAAATGAGATTTTGCGCATTTTTGGCGCCACAAGGAGTGCCGATATGCCAGAAGGCGTGCCGTGCCGTTCTTTTTCAGACCACCCACAGACCCCATACCCCTCTAAAAACAATGTACAAGAGGAAAGCCTCAGCCTCAGGCATTGAAACTTCTACATGCGACTCTAAACGGCCTCGCTACTGGTTGAGGATGAACAGAGACACCAATCTTGCTACTCAGTCCACCAGCTCGCACAACTACCATGGTGTAAAAGCCACACCTATTCCACCTGATATTGATGATGGTCAAGTTTCCACCAGCACAAAGGACAGGCAAATTTGGTCAGAGGCTGAGGAAGTTGGGTTGATTGCGTATATAACTAGCAAGCGAAGTGAGGGTGGAGATGGGATGAATTTCCCAAAGAAATTCTGGCCAAAGGCTGCTGTGGAATTCAATCAGAATATACAAAAGGATCATGTAGTTGGCCCTGCAAAGGAAGGCAAGCACTGCTCTAGCAAATGGGGAAGGGTGTGTACAATGTCAATTTATTAATTGACGGTTTACTTTAGCCTGCAATTAGTTGTGATCTACCTACAAACTCATCAAAGCGTTATCAGAGCAATTGGGCTTTCATTGGGATGATACTAATGGTGCAGATATCACAATTGAAAGAAACACTGTATGGGAGGATACCTCAAGGTATGTGCTCACTTTTTAAAACAATATCTGCATCTTATTGGTCTGTAGAAAAACCCTGGTGTCAAGGGTTTTTGCAACAAGGGTTGGGTCCATTTCAAAGCAATGGACAATCTCATATCTGGGCGTCATGCCAAGGGAGCAAATGCATTTTGCCCTTCTCTCATTCCTACCTCTGTATCTAGTTTTCCTATATCTACCAATGCCCCAAATTCTTTGTTGTCCATATCCGGTAGTTCCCTGCCCTTTCCCCCACAAACGCCTAGGAGTGATCAACCATATCCCAACAACAATCCTCACCTCACCATGCCAACTATTCCTGCTGGCCTGCGTGGTGCAGAAAGTCCCAACATGCAGCGCAGTGATGCCGGTGTGAGCGACTGGCTTATTGGGCTGCCATCTCCCAAATCACTGCCCCCTCCTACCAATATGTCACCAGTTATGTCCGGTGGGTCTTCCAGTAGCAAGCAAAAAGAAAGTACCTCAGATGCGGATGTGGATGTGATGTCAACTGCTACTTGCAGCAAGGGCACAGGAGTTACTGTGCATAGTCGCAGTTCTAAAACCCCTCGTGTAGCTGCAAATACAATGACCACCAATGCCCTAACTGGGTTGAATGATACGCTGGGTCAGATTGTACCTATAATGAAGGGGATAACTGACACTATTTGTAATGAGCTGGATACCTTGTCTACGAGACAAGACAGTTCTTCCACTGTTATACCCTCATCTGCACCTGGGACATCTGTTACCACCCCCTCCTCTTTCATTTCCCGCTACCAATTCGACATTGCTGAACAGGCCTCCCATATACAAAGAGGTATCGCTATCCAAGCACTACAAGAACTTGACTATGAGCTTGGGATTCCCAAGCAGGTTGAAGTCCTTCGTATCTTTGAGCACAAAATGGGGGTGGTGGATACATACTTGAACATGTTGCATGCGACTGAGTTGTGTAGGGCATGGATCAGCTCCATCACAAGATCTGTGTGGTATTTACTTCTGCTGGTACAATATGAAATGTTATGAAAATGACATTGAGTTAGTATCATAGTACAAGGCAGTAAGATATTGTGAGACAATGTTACACTAATCCTCTTCTACGCAGTTCACCCTGATAGTCCTCCCACATCAACTTAGCAATCTCATCTTTCCTCACATTTGCTTGTGTCCGGGTTGCTTCGGTGGGAGGCCCTGTGGCTAAAGTCCCAGTGTCAAGGCGAGGGATGGGGTCTTCAGTGGGAGTGTTGTAGTCTTGGATTTCATACGGGTCATGGACCCGTATGAAATTATGTAACATGCAGAGGGCGGGGGGTATGCATGCTTGAACAGCCATGTCATACTCAGAAGGGAGGAGGAGAATACAAAAATGCCGCTTGAGGATCCCAAAGATACACTCAATGACGTTGCAGGCAGATGCATGTCAAAGGTTGAAGTATTCACGAGGATTCTGTGGCCTAAAAATGCTAGATGTTAGAATAGGATGTGAAAAATGGAGGGTAAATCTTACCTGCAATTGCCACGAGTGTATTCCTGAAGGTGGTAGTGTTCACCTCTGTATGGCACTAAAAGCTGGGGGCAGGAAGGAAATCCTGCATCCGCTAGATAGTACTTACCCTGCAGAATGCGAAGGTTGCTCGTACAAGCATCATAGCATAGAGCGGCATCTGCAATAGAGCCTTCCCACCCACTGAGCATGTAAGAAAATTTGAGGTCAAAAGTGCAACAGGCAAGGCAGTTTTGAGATACCCCGCCTTTGCGGTTTTGCAATGCCTGGCGTTTGGCGGCAGATGGGGCACATGCAATGTGTGTGTCCCATCAATGGCACCAATGGTACCTTTGAAGCGGCAATATTTGGGATTTTCCATGATGTAAGGCAGCAGCGGGTTGTCCTCAGCAGGTAGATGGACATAGGTAACATAAATTTCTGGGGAGGTAAATGCAGCCAGGATCTTCTTGAAGTACCTAGAAATTGTATTGTTTGATTGTTGGAATTGTTCACCAAGATGGCGAACAGATAAGCCTGTGACAGATGCGTATAGGAAGATGGCGAGCTGTTCCTCAAGGCTGACATGCCTTGAGTCAATGTAATGATGGTGTCTGAGTAGGTCGATTAACTTGAGGAAAACATGGCACCTGACACCAAGTTCAGCACAAATGCGGTCGGGATGGCCCTGCAGTAATTCAAGGACCCATCCATGGCCTGTCAAAATAGAGGTGTGGTATGGTTGGGGTAGAGAGTTGTCAAGTTGGTTGGTAGCTACCAGTGCTGCTGATTGTGCAACCGTTTGAAGGCTGATGAGTGCAAGAGAGAGCTGTTGGGCACATAAGAAAATTACTGCTCGGTGCCTACGGGCAATTGACACTTCTTCACTCTCTTCAACGCCCTCCTCTCCCTCTCCCATACTATCATCGTCACTACTGATCCCCAAGTCCCTCTGTCTGCCTGGGCCACGGTCATCGACTTGATCTTCATCCATAGTCTCTGTCAATTGTTGCTGTATAACCGTGATTTTATCAATCTATCTTGCTGCATGCGGACACTCAATACATTGTCTCTCCGCCTCAAGTGCCCCCCCAAGTGCCACTTTTGCAAAGTCAAAATTCAAAAAATATTGCGATATTCTGTTCCCGTACAGCGCCTGAGTGAAGTCACATGAAAGTCATGCAAATTCTACCTTTAGTTAAAAAATTATGAACTGTTACTATGGGCTCGTACAGGAACTCTGAATATTTTTTTTTTTCACCCACAATCTGCCGGAATGCCGTTGGAGAGACGGATAGGCATCCATCCCATGAGCTATGAATGGGTAGGTATCATACTTCCATCAACCTCATGTCTAGAGCAAAAAAATGCAGGGCCTCCAGCCCAACCATCAGGAAAACATGACTTGGATATAAATGCAAAAATATCTATTATATCAAAAAATATCTGTTATATCTATAAGTGCAATTCTTGCATAGTCCCCTACTCTAAATGCATAAATATCAATAAATATCAGTTTAGAGTATTGCTATATTGTAAAAAGTGGTTTATAGCACAGTTGTTAAAACAAAAATGATCTTGCACTTTTTAACTATAATTCACTCTAATTCACTCTAAATGCAATTATATCGATCCATACTCAATTATATCCAAAAAAAACAATATTAAAGCAAATTATATTGATTTCAAAAAATGCTGCAGCAGTAACATCTATAAAACAACATCAGATTGCCCCAATATTGTACAATTATTCCTACAACTATTCCTATAAAAATACTTGAAGTTAAGAAAATATTACAATATAAATATGTAGTGAGCTCTAACCAAAAATATTCATCAAATTATCAAATATACTGCCAAGTATGTAGGAGAGCATTTCATATCATAATCCCATCTTGTAAAAGTATAATAAGTAGATATTTATGGTGATTAAGGTAATATACCTGGCAGAAAATGCCGTCTCTGAGAATTCTATTATAACATTATTGACAGCACCTAGTAAAACATATTCAAGCTGGTAGACAATTTTGATTGTTAGTCTATTTTATAAATAAACGAACAAATGAACACTTACCATGCATGCTACTAGAGCTGGAAAAATGATGCCACATCATCACCTTTCTTATATTAGGTCTTCCAGAAGTAGCCTAGGAATCGTAAATAATAATGTATTAGTGTAGAATAAATAAGAAAGACCTTTTTATTTTGGCATTGAAATTGCTGGGGCTGTCTAGGTTGGGTTGAAGGTTGAAGGAGGTGGTGATAGAGAAGTCATCATTAGCAAAAAATGGCCTTCAGCAGAATAGTAATTCAGAACAAACAAACAATAACACACCTACTGGGGCTTACAAACTGTTTCTAGGGCATCAATGTTGGGGTGGCAGCCACCTCCATCTGGTATTTGCAATTGAGTCTGGTGAGAGAAAAATTTTGCAGTCTGGCTACTCTCTACTAGTAGCCAGGCTGGAATGGTACCTTGGTAGAGTAGCGAGACTTAAAATTTTGTGCAGCATTGTTGGCACTGTGTAACATAGTGATGAGGTGTTGCCACCATTGTATCAAACAATATGGTGACATGGAGGGAGGCGCAACTGCGCTGCAGTGCAGTAGCGCTTTCCCACAGATGAAAAATGGCAAGTTGTTCTTCAATCAACACATGCTTTGAATCTGAGTATCCATTGGCCTGCAATAAATCTAACAACTTCAAGAAAACTTCCTGCTGCACCCCAAGCTCCGTCCTGATACAATCAGGATGCCCATCTATCAATTCCCTGACCCATCTATAGCCTGTCAGGACCAAATTGTGGTACGGTCTTGGTTTGGGGTGTTGCACTTATTCTTCCACTATAGCCCAAGTAGTATGTGCGATTGATTTGACAATGATAGAAGCTAGTTTCTGTTAGAATATACTCTGACATATTAATACTCCATAGGATAATACCTCTGATTTGTAAGCCAACCCAGTATGCAGCAGCTATACTGTGTAAGATGTCCGTGGTTGCATGTCATGTTTAAGATCCTGTATTGTATAACCTTGGCCATATAGTTCAATTGGTAGAGCAGCTGGCATGTATCCAGAAGGTTCCAGGCTCAATCCCTGGTCTGGTCAATATCCAATTTTATCACTGTCTACTTGGAGGACAGATAATGTACTGGATGTTTGTGGATCATTTTCACTTAATAATTGGGCTAGTAAATTTGCATACCAAAAAATATGGTAGTATAGAATTCATTTGTTGTAGTATAGTAACTTGAAGTCCATTATTTTATTATTGCCAACTTTGAGCTGATCTGATTGGCTTTAATTGCAATAAAAGTACTCTATATGTAGCAGTAGTGGCATCTATATCAATCTATAGCGCACTATTTGCCATGAATGCTATATTTGGTCTATTACCCAATCATACCAAACTATATCCAATCAGAGTAAAATCATGTCTTCCTGATGACCCACCTCTATTCCCACCACCACCACCATCACCACCACCACCACACACTATGCCTAATGCAGCCGCACCCAAATCCATCAAGTTTGGACAAATAGACAACTTTCATGGGATGCCGGACAGAGCAAATGGATGGATGCTATTGGCAAAAGTGTACTTCAATATAAATGATACCATTTATGACTTGGACAAGAAAAAGGTCTTTGAAGCCCTTTCTCACATGAAAGAAGGAGCGGCCTTAGCATGGAAGGAGAGCAAATTGACAGAGTACACAGGGCCAGCAAAATACCCCAAATGGGCAGATTTTGAAGCCAACTTCAATGGAACCTTTATTACCGCAGACATAAAAGGAGTGCCAGTGCGGCGCTCATGGCAATGAAAATGGAAACAGGAGAAACAGCCGTAAAATTCAACTTTTGTTTTATGGTAGAAGCCGGTGTCAATGATGAGAACTGCTGTTAGAAAACCACACACAAAACAAACTAACAAACAATCCTCCCAGATTCCATGGAACTTGTTTATGGGCTTTGCCTCCTAGAACAGTGGAGTGGTCTGGTTGTTCGTGGCGTGGTACATATAAAGATCCTTCAAAGTAAAACCCAGAGGTGTATGAGTGTGGGTTTTGAGGAGGAGGGATAGTTGAATTTATAGAAGATAGGAGCTTAGTGACAAGTATAGATGAGCACTACCTTGCTAATTGTAGCACAAGGTAGGTTTGAGAATAACGAGGATGACAAGGTGATGAGGTTCCCAGTGATAGCAGGCTCCTGACGCACAAACTGTAGTGCTCAGAAGGACTCTAATTGAAAGGGATGATAATGATGTTCAAAAGTGACAAGTGGCATTGACAGCAGTTAACAGTGGTAGCAGTGGGAAGTGTATTGACCGCACTGGATCACAAGTAGCAGTAAGAAGTGGACTTGGGATTAGAGAAGAAGTCTGGATTGGATTTCTTGTTGTTATTTTACAAGGTAAAATACAGGGGTTTATATAGTGAAAAAAAAGTAGGCTATGCACAGTATAGCTGTGCAAAAGGATGTGAAAGAATGTGAAGGAAGGAATGTATGCTGACAAATCCTGCGTAGGTAGTACAGGATAAGATTGTCAAAAAAAGGAAAAGAAAGGGATAGCACAATGAATGCTGTGAGTAATGTCACAGGTTTGTACAGCCATAAAAGAAAGTCCAATAGCAGAAAGAGAGCAAGTACCAACCAACTTTGGTGTATGACAGTGTCTTGTTCTGGTGTAAATGCAAGCTGTGGGGTTTCAATATAGTTCTGTAAATGATAAAGGTGTTACAATAACACAATTTTTGGACCTCTCCTTTATTTTCATTCTCCGCTTTAACCTTGTACTTTAGCTTTCACACATGGTGCCACGCAGCACATCCCCTTTTTTCCAAACTTCTCACGCCACATTGCCTTTTTTCTTATTTTAGACACAACTCTCTCACACAGTGGAGCTGGCCATATGGGCTAGGCCCCATGACATCATCAGCCACTGTCTCTATCAACTGTATAGTACACATGTACAAACAACCCTGTAGTAGTATATATACCCCAATAGATCCAGGAGACTCCTCAGCAAGTCCTCCTGTTGTATACCAACAAACTCTCTGCAGCTCAAGGGGTAACCACTCCCCATCATCTTCTTTATAGTGTGTTCCTGTGTGTGCCAGAGTAAATAACTCTTGGTTGTTACACCAGTTACCTTTTTTTCACTTTACAAGAGAACAAGTTGACATGTTGTTGCAACAAGATATCAATGGTCTGCTGCACGCCATGCGTGCACAGATTGCAACATTAACCTTGCAACTTGCCAAGCTGCAGATAAACCCTCCTGCGGCAACCCCCTCGGTTGAGAAGAAATTCAACAAAAAGTCGAAGTCGTCGCTGACCCTGGCACCTTTGAGGGAGACAGAGCGCAATTTGCCGAGTGGTGGATCAAACTCCAGATTTGGGTTAAGGCAAATTGGGACACATTTGCAGACAATTTTTAGGTAGCCACTGCGGTGCTACCTCGACTAAAAGGACCTGTGGCGGGTCAATATGTTCAAGTTAGACTACAGGAATGCTATACCATGGGAGTGTGGCCGACCTGGGACAATCTCAAGAAGGAGATTGAAAAATATTTCAAACCACAAGCTGAGCATGACTGGGCGCATCAGCAAATCTGTTCCTTCAAACAAGGAAATATGAGGACGGATGACTATGTTACCCGGTTCCTGGCCCTCTCCATCCAAGGAGGGCTTGGTAATGAACATGCAGTGGAACTACTGGAGTGCAATGTGAACCCCCGCATTGCAGAACAGATCTACTTGCAGGATACAAGAAACAAGAACTTGGCCCTGGCGGCTGAGGAAGTATGACGAATTGGTAGAGCCATGGAGCTTTACCAAATGCACCAAGGTGGCGGGTCCACCACCAAAAACAACAAAACCCAGAGGTGCCCTGGGTCATCAAACCATCAAAAACATTCTCACGGGTTTAAGCTGTTCGGGCTGCAACCAGGGCAGGGAGCCCCCATGGATATCGGCGCGGTCCAAGGAGGACAGATGCACAGATTCCAGGGAAACTGCTATAATTGCGGCCAAAAGGGACACATGTCCCGAGACTGCAGAGAAGCAGGTCGCTCAACAAAAAAATAACCAAGGGCGCCAGGCGCGCCAATTAGAGTCCAAGAAATCGGACGATCGGCTCCAAACTCTGGCTGGTCGTTCATACGACAAAATCCGGGCCTTTTTCTATGACCAACAGGTCAATGAGATGAAGGCTCAGGGAAAAGAGTTTGGAGCTTAGGTCACTTACTCCTATGAACAATGAAGTAAACCACAACAAAGTGGCCCCTGGTCCGGGGTGTTGCATGAGCAATAAAGAAAAGACGGGGATGGCTCCCCAATTTGTAAATAGATCTTTAAATTTGTTATCAGAAGAATGTACATGTATGAAACATTGTGACTGTAATATTTATGACACTACTGCTGCACCAGCGTCTCCTTTGGAGCGTGGCCCTGCCGAGACAAACACTAGGGTGCTTAATTCTGGTAAAAATAAAATAAAAAAACATGTAACTTTTGATACCCCTTCTTCTTCACTGGAGCCACCCTTTCCCAAAATCCCAAGGCGTGTGTTGATGCGCACATATATATTCCAAAAGGAGATCCATTTAGATGTTGGTGTGGAAAACCTTGCCCAGGGCATAGTACACCCAACCAGCGCACTGCTTGATTCAGGCGCTAACAGAATCTTCATAGATCAGGTCTGGGCGGAGCAAATTGGACTCCCTCTTGTAAAATTAGATGTATCTATTCCCGTCTATAACGTTGACAGTACGCTGAACATGGGTGGCTGCATCACGCACAAGTGTTCTTTTGTGGTCAAATACCAAGGACACAGAGAACAAGTCACCGCCAAAGCTACTAGGGAAGATTAATTTAATCTTGGGCTAGACCTGGCTATTTAAACACAATCCTGAGATCAACTGGCAGACAGGGGTTGTTACATTGTCACGTTGCCCTCAGGAGTGTGTGAACTTGGGTAAACCAAATCATGTCCGTCACAATGAGCATCTTGAAAAGATAAATGCTGGTCACATTTATGCCAAGCTTAGATCTTTAGAAAAGATCGACAATGACGATGATGAGGTAAAACCCAAAGAAAAGATCAAGAGGCTGGTAGCTCCCCTTTTATAAGACTCATGTCCTCATAAGTCCGGATGCAGCACTCTGGAACTTGTTGGTAATCCAATCAAAAAGCATTGGAGATTTAGAAGTTGCGGTGCAGTTTTTGTAAGGACGGAAATGAAGAGAAGCGGTGATAATGCGAGGGGCGGCAGGATTTGTTTTGTGAAAGGCGGTGAGCAAATTAGAGACATGTGTAAGATTGGTGTCGGGTTCCCAAGTGCGTTTGGAGACTGGATAACCATGCCAGTGAACCAGGTAGTCGAGTTTACTACCTTTCAGTTTGGTTGGTCTGGAGGCAATTATACTCTCTACTTTGTATTTGTCTACTCCTTTAACAATTTTGGGCGGTGGTCATGAGGAAATTGGTTGATTGGGGAATTTGGGAGCATGGTACCGTGAGAGGATGGTTTCATTGAATACTGGATGAATGGACTTCCAGCTTTTTGGGACGTTGAGTTGGTAGGCGGAGGGTCCAACTTTTCGGGTGATTTTAAAAGGCCCAAAACATTTGTTGTCCAATTTCTTCATTGGTCTATCTGTCGTGATGTTGTGTCCTTCTAACCAGACTTTATTGCCAATTTTATATTCCTGGGATGGGGATTTCTTACAGTCATAATATCTTCTCAGATTATCGTTTGCTAAAAGAAGGGAGGATTTTGTGATGTCGTGGAGTTTTTTCATCTGTTTGCCAAACTCTGTCGCCAATGCGGATTGAGGGGATGATGTAGTGGTGGTATGCGTTCGTGGGTGTAGTCCATAGTTCAGAAAGAAAGGTGTTTGATTCATCGCGGTGTGGAGATGATTGTTGTATGTAAACTCAGTGATGGAAAGCCAATCTGCCCAGTCATTCTGTTGATGATTTATGAAAATGTAGAGGTAGTGCTCTAAATCCTGGTTGATCCGTTCGGACTGTCCCTCTGTTTGAGGGTGATAGCTTGTAGAGAGGCCCGGTGTTATCCCCATCAAATCATAAAAGTCTTTAGTAAATTGAAACATGAATTGAGGACCTCGATCTGAGATGATCTTTTCAGGGATTCCATGGAGTTGTATTACATTGTCTCGGAGTTGACGTGTGTAACCAGCAGAGTCGATGGTGATGAAAGTGGGGACAAAATGGGCCATCTTGCTAAATCGGTCTACAAAGACCTGAATGGTGGTGTAGCCCTTGGACTCCGGTAGTGTGCGTATGAGGTTGGTGGTGATAATTTGCCAAGGCTGATTGGGTATTGGGTTTGGATGTAGGGGGGTGTTATGCTTGGTCCAATGTGCCTTGGTGCATTGACAACTCTTGCACCATTGTACATATCGTCTGATATCTGTACAAAGATTCGGCCATCAGAGCCCCCGGTGTTGATGATGAGAACTGTTGTTATAAAACCACACACAAAAACAAACTAACACACAATCCTCCCAGATTCCACGGAACTGGTTTATGGGCTTTGCCTCCTAGAACAGTGGGTGCTCTGGCTGTTTGTGGGGTGGTATGTATGAGGATCCTTTAAAGTAAAACCCAGAGGTGTATGAGTGTGGGTTTTGAGGAGGAGGGATAGTTGAATTATAGAGGATAGGGGCTTAGTTGACGAGTATGGACAAGCACTACCTTGCTAATTGTAGCACAAGGTAGGTTTGAGAACAACAAGATAACGGGGTGACAAGCTTCCCAGTGATAGCAGGCTCCTGATTCACAGACTGTACTGCTCAGAAGGACTCTAATCAAAAGGGATGACAATCACTTTCAAAAAGTGACGAGTGACAATGACATCAGTTAACAGTGGTAGCAGTGGGAAGTGTTGTGACCACACTGGATCACAAGTAGCAGAGTAGTGAACTTGAGATTAGAGAAGAAGTCTGGATTCAAGTTCTTGTTATTTTTCAAGGTAAAATACAGGGGTTTATATAGTGAAAGAAAAGTAGGCTATGCACAGTATAGCTGTGCAAAAAAAATGAGAAAGAACATGAAGGAAGGAATGTACGCTGACAAATCCTGCATAGGTAGTACAGGATAAGATTGTCAAAAAAGGAAAAGAAAGGGATAGAACAATGAATGCTATGTAAGTAATGTCACAGGTTTGTACAGCCATAAAAGCAAGTCCAAATAGCAAAAAGAGAGCAAGAAAATTGTGATGTCATGAGAAGATGCAGTAAAAAAAGGGCAAGGCAAAACACTATCAGTATCAACACAGTTCCTTTATTGTCAGTCAGGCATTCTAAAAAAATATGTGTCCATAAAAATGATTCAAAAATCAAAAATAATTGCACTGTAAATGAATGTTCTGCTGAAGAAAAAGAAACTGGAGCCACCGGTCCACCACCTAGTCCAAATCTGACAGTTCCATGGCCTTACCAATGGATTGGTTGTGTTGGACCACCTGATCAAATGAGGGAGGGAGAGGAGTAGTTCCAATTTGGAACAAGTGAGTCCCAGGCAGCGTGTGGTAGGTGTAGCTGTAGTGAAGACGATGGACAAAAGATAAGTGTACCCAAGTGAATGGGACAGCAATGAACATGGGCAATGCAAGAGGATAAACCTTCTCCAGCTCAAAAACTACCCACCCACGCTCCAACCAGGCAAGATGAGCGACCAATGTTTTGATAGTATGTGATGGCAGATCGACGTCATGAAGATGGACCTGTTGCCCTATTTGGACCAGCCACCAGGGCTTTACTGATATAAGCAGTGGCACGTGGTAGTCAACGGATTGGCAACGGAAGCGGATAGAAAGTGGTGACATCAGAAATGGTGGGGGTGCAAATAATATCAGGAGGAGGAGGGTGGAGGTGATGAAAAAGTGGATTAGAATGGGGATCCAGAACAATCATCAGGTGAGAATAAAACGGAGAGGAAGGGGCCCATGGTGGGGCTAGGAAAAGGAAGGGGAGTGAAGGAAACGACAAAAGCGAGGGCGCAATGCAATGTGTAGCCAGTGGCAATGCAAAAATTTGCTGAAATGCTGAAACGCAGAAAGTACCGAATGGAAAAGCAAAGGTGAGCGTGACTGGATTGCCTAATAGAGATGGTGCTGATCAGCCATAAGTTTGAAAAAGGCAATATTAATTACTATTCCACATGGTACTGTGCCTGTGTGGCGCAAAGGCGAGTCTTTTTGAATATTCGCTTCGTTATTGACACCTGTCCATGCTACCAATCAATTTTGGTGTATGACACCGGTTTACTCGTTCAAACATTGTTCTCTCTCCTGGGTGTCCAGCCAGAGCTTTGTCATGGTGATCCTTCAATATTTGCGCTCGTTATTTGTGGTTTTGAGGAACATATACGCAATCAGCTAATGGCATCGGGTAGAAACTCGTCGCAGATTCTCTTTTGATCCAGATGATCCTATCCTTCACCTTCCAGGTATCCAACTTATCCTTCAAGTTCCTTTTTACTACATTGTCCTGTTCTTGGAAGCTTTGATGTATATCTGGTAGATATCCTTCGTTGGTGTCAAGTACTTCAAAATGTACGTCTGGGAGAAGTGTTTGATTTTTGTTATTGTTTGTGCCTCTAGGATGATCAATTTGTTTGCTTAACAGGTCAGCCTTCATATTTTGATTTTCTTTGACGTGTTCCATTTTGAAATTATAATCTGCAAGCTGAGACGACCATCGAGCTTGACGTCGGTTGTATTTCTGAGGTTGATGGAAGTAACGGAGGTTTTGGTGATCTGTGAAGATAGTGAAGAGGTGTTCCAATCCTACAAGGTGATGTCGCCATTTGTCTAGCGCTGTCATGACTGTGAGCATCTTTTTATCGTAAATTTCATAATTTCGTTCTGTGACATTACTTACATAGCATTCATTGTTCTATTCCTTTCTTTTCCTTTTTTGACAATCTTATCCTGTACTATCTACGCAGGATTTGTCAGCGTACATTCCTTCCTTCATGTTCTTTCTCATTTTTTTTGCACAGCTATACTGTGCATAGCCTACTTTGCTTTCACTATATAAGCCCCTGTATTTTACTTTGAAAAATAACAAGAACTTGAATCCAGACTTCTTCTCTAATCTCAAGTTCACTACTCTGCTACTTGTGATCCAGTGTGGTCACAACACTTCCCACTACTACTGTTAACTGCTGTCATTGTCATTTGTCACTTTTGAAAGTGATTGTCATCCCTTTTGATTAGAGTCCTTCTGAGCAGTACAATCTGTGCATTAGGAGCCTGCTATCACTGGGAAGCTTGTCACCCCGTTATCTTGTTGTTCTCAAACCTACCTTGTGCTACAATTAGCAAGGTAGTGCTTGTCCATACTCGTCAACTAAGCCCCTATCCTCTATAATTCAACTATCCCTCCTCCTCAAAACCCACACCTATACATCTCTGGGTTTTACTTTGAATGATTTCTATACGTACCACCCCATGAACAACCAGACCACTCCACTGTTCTAGGAGGCAAAGCCCATAAACAAGTTCCGTGGAACCTGGGAGGATTGTGTGTTAGTTTGTTTTGTGCATGGTTTTTCTAACAATAATTCTCATTATCGACAGCAGCACTACTTAGAAGGTGCTAGACACTAATTTGAAATTTGGACTGCTCATAAGAATCTGGAATATTTTATGACAGCCCAAGACTTGAACCAGAGACAGGCCCGCTATGCGGTGTACTTGTTGGTTTAATTATAAATTAATTTATAAGCCTGGAAGTTCTATGGGGAAAGCGGATGCTTTGTCCAGAAGAGAGGATCATGCCAACAGCATAGAATATGACAACAAAGGTGTCACCCTGATAGACCAATCAAGGGTTGCCAATGTTAGAATTAGGCAAGATTCAGATCTTCTGGAAGTCTTCAAGAAAGTCATCTCCTCAGAAGAAAAGGCTTGCCTTGATGGCAATGAAAACTATTTATGGGTAGATGGGCTCTTCCATTTTAAGGACAAAATCTATGTGCCTGAGTCTACAAGAATCAAGGCAATCAAATGGGTGTGATTCAGTAATGGTGGTAGTAGATTGCTTCTCCAAAGAAGTAGTATTTATTCCCACTAACAAAACCATTACCGCTGCTGGTATGGCAGACCTACTTAAAAATTTTGTATGGTCCACCCATGGACTGCCAGAAACAGTTATCTCCAATAGGGGATCACAATTTTTCAGCAAGTTTAAGAAAGAATTATGCTGGATGCTGGGCATCAAACCTAAATTATCTATGGTGTTCCATCCGCAGACTGATGGACAAACAGAGAGGCTCAATCAGGAATTGAAACAATATCTCCGGATATTTATTAATGATAGACAGACAGATTGGGCCAAGTGGCTGAAGATAGCCCAGTTCTTGTACAATATTAAAAAGTCGTTGGCTACAGGAAAGGCACCATTTGAGGTTACTAGATTGTACCTCCCCAGAATGGGTGTAGAGCCTGGTAAAAGCAAGAACAAGGCTTCCAGGGACATGGCTAAGGACATGAAGTCAGTCTTAAATAAAACGCACAAAGCTATTCAAAACTGCAGAGCAGATGAAAGACAGGGCAGAGTGTAGATGCTCTAAGGCCCCTGACTACAAAGTTGGCAACCTGGTCTGGTTGAACACCGATCACTTCCAATTAAAAGATAGGCAGTCTAGAAAACTGACCAAAAAGTGGATTGGCCCTTACCGGATTAAGGAAGTCAAACCTAATGCAGTGGAGCTGGAACTCCCAAAACATAAAAAGGTAGTACTCACAGTCAATATTAGCCGTGTGAAACCTTACAAAGGACCGCTGCCGGGACAGCACGTAGACCGGCCCGGTGTCATGCACCAAAGTTGATTGATAGCATGGACAGGTGTCAAAGATGAAGCAAATATTCGAAAAGACTTGCCTTTGGTAGACTTGATAGTCTAGTCAACAATGTGGCTTTATACTGTGTAGAAGTCAAAACTTATGCCAATATCTTTGTTGGGAAAGACACTGGATACAATCTACTTCTTGGACGACCATGGACACATGGGAACTATGTAAGCATTGAAGAGAGACTTAATGGCACTTATCTCGTCTTCAGAAAGGATGGCAAAATCAAAAACCCAGCTCTGGAAGTCAAGGTATCATCAGATCATTGTCCTATTCACTATCTCAAACCAGTATCTGGAGTATCTGATACAGTATCCAGCCTCTTAGTCACAGACTATGACTTTAATAGAGAATGGAGGAGATCTAGATGGAAATACCAATGAACCAGAAACTGCTGCTGAAAGTGTCACCCCAGAAGAAGAAACTGTGCCTGTTCCAGATAATTCCCCAATTGGTTCAATTGAAAATTCTAGTACTCTCAGAGCACTGGAAGACCTGGAAACTCGTCTAGAAGAAATTATTGAAGCCTCTATCCCTATCCCCAATGCCAGTACCTTTGAAACATTCTTTGACTATATTCACTCCATCAGAGAAGATGAAAGGTCTGCCATTTTTGCTCTACTTAACAACCTTTGATATAGTCACAACATGAGTTTGCTCTTACTGATTTCAGATTATGTCATGAGAGGACACTATGGCTTTGATGAAAACGACAACCTTTACGCTGATTATATCCTGCTCCATGCTTATTTGCAATTTGACCAGAATTATGGACCTGGAAGAGCACAATCTATTATCAGCTGCTCAGGAACTGCACATATTTGCTTCTTTCCTCAAACAAAATCATTCCCAATTCCCACTGATGAAGATCTAATTGGACCTCCACCACATGATATGAGTAACCAAGTCAATGTAACGGTAGAAGTAACACAAGAATCCGACTTGGAGCCGATACATCACCATATAAATGGATTAATTGATGATGACTCATCCACTGATTCTGAATCACCACCCCCATCACCTTCCTCTACCAATGCTACCACTGCTTCTTTGCCCCCCCCCCTGATAATCGCACACTCATGCATACTATTTGCAATGATAGTCAAGAGGATGAAAGGGAGATTGATTCCTTGCCGCCCCTTCAGTTATCCCTCTCTACAACAATAGAAGTGGAGCACTTCCATCAATATATCATCCGAAACTACTCCTCATCTTCAAACTTCCATACATCACTATCATCATTTTCCCATGTTACCATCAGCTCAGCCATTACTGATTATTCCCACCAGTGCCAGAAATTCTACCCCAATTCTAACTCATCTTCACTCCATCCTAAACGCTTACATCAAACATTACAACCACCTAACATGTCCTGGCTCAAAGGGTTTCATATTACTAAAGAAGCTCTCATCATTGAGATTGTGGTGGGAGTGCTACTTGTCCTTGCCCTTTTCTACGGTTTTGTCTTCCCTCATATTTGCGCTTATTGTCAACAAGAACATTTTGAGGTTATTCACCTCCACAACAGGACAATTCATCCATCTAGTGCATCTACATTCACCACCAGCACTGAGGTGCTTTCTAGTACCACAGTTGAAGTTTGAGGTAAATGCTGGTGATACGTTTCTATATTCTTTTCTTACTTAACACTCTATTCAGCACTCTTGGACCATATGCCACCTTTTCTCTTTCTCTTTTTTCTTGCTATATATCTAATACTTGTACAAAATGGCCTCTTAGATTACTATGTTTTCCAATTTTTCCTTCCTTTACTCTTGTACCAGCTTTTTTTTTTATTGTCTATGTTCCCTTTTCATTCTTATCTGATCTTTTTCCTTCCCCCCTTGTAAAACATCTGACCTCATCCCTATCCTATTCAGTCCAAGATGACGCAAAACTACCACGGCACTTTCCTTCCTTGAACACTTTTTGTTTTAACCCTAGTTACATGATAGACATTGTGGACCCTATACCTGTACCAGCACCTGATTGGTCAAGTTTTGGAGCCTACAAACATGTTGATCGCAGAGTCAAACCTATTCCTGAAGTATTCCCAGAAGACGCACGTGTCACTCGGTCATTTCCAGAAGACCCACTCCTTTCGCTCCCACCCCTTCCTGTCCTTCCCCCAGAATTCATTCCCACACCAAATCTCACCAAGGAGCGCCTTTATGATGAAATCAAGCTAAACTCTGATGGATTATTATGGCCAGAAGAGGAAAAGCTTTTCACTCACATTATAATACTCAATCAGCGCAGTCTTGCCTTTGAGGAAACTGACAGAGGAACATTTAGGGAAGACTACTTCTCTCCCTATGTCATACCTGTTCTCCCACATGTTCCTTGGGAATACAAGAACATTCCTATTCCTCCTGGAATCAAGAACAAAGTCATAGAATTGCTCAGAGACAAAACCAAAGCTGGAGTTTATGAGCCTAGCCAGAAGAATGGCAAGATTTGCATTGTCCATGATCTTCAGCCACTCAATGCAGTCACTATCAAAGACTCAGGAGTACCACCTATCCTTGACGACTTTGTGGAGCCATTTGCTGGTTCCCAATGCTATACTGTGTTTAATCTTTTTTGGGGATTTGATGCTCGAAAAGTACACCCTGAAATTTGTGACCTTACCTCTTTTCTATCACCACTAAGACTTCTGAGGATCACCTCTATGCCTATGGGATTCACCAATTCCGTTCCAAGAATTGCATGACTTTCATCCTGCAAGACAAAATTCCGCATATTGCCAATATCTTTGTTGATAACCTGCCGATCAAAGGACCCACTTCTTGTTATGAAGATGCAGATGGCAACCCAGAGACTATTCCTGGAAACTCTGGCATTCGTAGATTTATCTGGGAACATGCTATTGATGTTCATCGCATTATGCATAGAGTTGGTTATGCTGGCAGAACTTTCTCTGGAAAGAAGACTCAGTTATATTGTCCTCAAGTTGTGATTGTCGGACAAGTATGCTGCCCAGAAGGTCGTCTCCCTGACAGTACCAAGTTTTCTTGGTCTATGTGGCACAGTTTGCATTTGGATCCATAATTACTCTGCTCTTGCACGCCCCCTGACAGAATTGTATTGCAAAGGAGCTGATTTTCAATGGGATGAATGCAGACAAGAAGTGTTTGATGCTCTAAAGCATGCAGTATCCTCTGCACCAGCACTTCACCCTATAGATTATTCGTCACACAACCCAGTTGTTCTTTCAGTCAATACCAGCAAGATTGCTGTTGGTTTCATCCTCTCCCAGCTCGATGAAAATAGAAGGAAGTGTTCAGCTCGCTATCGCTCTATTCCCATGAATGATAGAGAGGCAAATTACAGTCAACCCAAGCTAGAATTGTATGGTTTGTTCAGAGCACTTCGTCATTTTTGCCTTTACATTGCAGGAGTAAAACACTTGCATGTGGAGGTCAATGCCAAGTATATCAAAGGTGTGAGGAATTGATTTTTCTTATTGCATTCCCGTCATGTTGTCGCTATCCAATTCATTCCCTGTTACTCCTCTCGCTCTTGGATTAGAGATTACAGCTGGCATTTTATTACTTTTATCCTTTTTCTTCTTATTCTCCATTCATACTCACGTTCTATTGTACTTACAATGAAGGAGAACCATTGTAGACCCTCGAGAAGATATCTAGATGACATAGCAATAATCCAATGCTATATCTGGGAATACATTGGAGGGATATTGATAAGCAAGGAAGGCTGTGAGTCAGCGCCTTCTCATGGGCTTACTGATACAGCCAATTATACACCTCTTACCAATACTTTCTCTCATGTAATTAGTAAATACAATAGATCGAACCACTTTCTCTTTCTTTTCTTATTGGTTAAATTGGTCAGGCCACTTTCTTAACTCTTCCCTTTCTTGGTCTGACCATTGTTATTCGTTATATAAGGAAGTACGTACTTGATGTATTATTCCTTAGTTCAATATGAGTTTGGATTTGTGCCTATATCAATACTCTTCAACTCTCATACCCTGCTTCACCGCCTTTTAGCAAGGACTTGACCAGGCATTACGTTTTGTTATATAGCTTTGTATTTGTTGCCTGATAGAATATTGAACTCACCTTCTCCAAATCCTCTTCCAGAGACCCTTTGGAAGACTATCTCGCTATACCTCAAAAAGACTGTCACTGCCTTTGCACCGGTCTAAACCCTCATGGTCACCCTCTCCACAGCTTTATCATCCCTATCCCTCTCCTCACTACCGTCATTGACCTTTTACTATCCATACTACCACACCTATTGTTGTTCAGTCCTCTCAAACTGGACGTCTTATCTACCATCACCACTCTCATCTAATTCCTCGCACTTTTTGCTATCATCCGATACCTTCAGACTGAACTCGTCAGCAACGTTGTTTACCTTCATTGTGTCTACATCCCAACAGCACTCAGAAGAGTGGGTGTCAGAAGCGGACCACAGACACCAGAAAGACTTCCTCACAGCCCTCAACAAGCCGCTCCTGGTCCTCCCCGTCCCTGTTAGTTTTGGTGATTCTGCACCTTTGTGCTACCTATATATTTTCATTCCTTTCTCTATCTATTCTTCTATCATTCACTATTGATTGTGTTCTCTATTATTTCGCCTTTGTGGCTGCTTTGTTTACCTTTGTTTACAAAACTTCGGACAGTACTGCAGAATCCAGTGCTTCCTATTCTCTAGTTACTCACATTGGACTCTAGGTACTGTATACCTGTCATACTCTCTACTAATAAAGTTACTCACATTGGACTCTAGTTCCAGTCCCTGATTGCTCTCAGCAAGTGGCTAGACACTTCCTTCAAGCTTTGTTCTTAATATTCCCTACCAAAGCCTGTACCCCAGACGAGGAAGAAACAGTCAAGTAGATCACTGAACTTTATCAGGACTCCTCTGCTTTGTTTTCTCCAATTGATCCAATGGAGGAAATCATCCTTGACATAAACGACGCTCTTGCTCTCACCCAATCCATCTTTTACCATTCCGCCATCTGTAGGAGAAATTCTAGGAGCCTTGAGGAGGTACTCCAACATCTCAGACAAAGCACGGAGAGAACTTTTAATCTTCATATTCCTGCAACACAGTCAGATTCTGTTGTACGACTACTTCGAGAGCCTAGTACGCCCAAGTTACGAGAACACTCAGAGGGTTAAGCTTTTGAAAGGAGCAGCCAACGTACAAGAACAAAATTTGCATCTGATTTCACAGGACTATATTCCCTCCCTCCTCAAACTTTACCATATTTACCCTCTCTCATTTCCCAGCATACCCAGCCGACTCCTCCCTTACAGTTTTGAACATACCTTGCTTTGCGGTATTGTTCTAAGGAAAAGGTCAGATGAAGAACCTACCTACGGTATCTCTTCTTCCTTTTTTACCAAAGACTACTACAACATCTACTCTGCTTCCCCAGTCCATTATCAACCCATTGAGTGTTACACATTGAGTGTTACGATAACACAATTTTTGGACCTTTCCTTCATTTTCATTCTCCGCTTAAACCTTGTATACTTTAGCTTTCACACATGGTGCCATGTGGCACTTCCCCTTTTGTTCAAACTCCTCTTTTCTCATGCTGCGTTGCCTTCTTCTTATTTTTAGATACAACTCTCTCACACAGTGGAGCTGGTCATGCGGGCTAAGCCCCATGACATCATCAGCTACTATCTTTATCAGCTGTATAGTACATAAGTACAAACAACTCTGTATTAGTATATATATACCCCAATAGATCCAGGAGACTCAGTGAGTCCTCCTGTTGTTAACCAACAAACTCTCTGCAGCCTAAGGGGTAACCACTCCCCCATCATCTTTTTTAAAGTGTGTTCTTGTGTGCGCCAGAGTAACTAACTCTTGGTTGTTACATTGAGTACTTTTGCATTGGCAATCTTGACACATTTGGACCACATTTTGGTCTTCAACACAGTACCTCTATTGTCATTGTCACACCTTCCACCAAAGATCAAATCTGATGCGTTGTTGCAGGATTAGCTTGATTTGATCAGCTTATTGCAACCGCACAGAGGAAAGCTCATGACAGAGAAGACTACACCACTGGGATTGACAATATTTGATATGTCTCAGAATACGTCGAGAAGTATTACTGGGTCTTAGAAATTCTTACACCGTTCGTTGTTAATCAGCAATCAAATTACCCTGAACACTTCATCGTAACTGTTATCCAAAGCAACTTCTGGGCCGTTGTTAATCACAGTCGACAAACACATATCTACTCGCAATACTTGTACACCTACCAAGGTCAAAGAGAGAGGAGAAGCATTGCTCATTCCGTCGGTTGAACAACTTTTTGCACCTTGCGCAGAAAGAATTGAATTAGAAACAGGAAGTTCTTTGGAAGATATAATTGGAGGAGAATCAGACAAAGGGACAGAGTTGGAAAGCGAAGGGTCTACTGAAGGCATAGAGTACTGAAGACCTCAGGAAGCAGAAGGAGGAGATTTTCCTAGTAACTTTGTGTTTGACCCGGACTTTAATTAAAAGACTCATTATCTATGACTCATTATCTAACTCTTTAAAACTGTAACCTTATTGAGAACCTTGTCCTCTTGTCACTCCCGAAACATCCCCCCCACAATTTCTAGGAGCTGCCGCTGAAGCCCTGGAACCTAACAATCTATATCAATCCGCTGGACCAGAAGACTTCCCTCCCCCACCTCAGAATCCACAACTCAAAAACCAACCTGATGATTGGTTTGATCAAGAGTCTTTGGACCTTGAACCCAATCTAGCAGCAAGAATGACCGACAAACCCAGTCAAGGCAGCAAGGCTATCCTTGTCTCTCCTCCATTCAAATCCACTGGCAAAAAGGAAATGTACGTTGACTGGAAGAACACATTGGCAAACTACTTTTTTGCTCATCCCAAAAGTTTCCAAACCAACTCCTCCAAAATCCTCTTTGCATTATCCCGAATCTCGTCCGATAAAGCCAATGATGCCAATGATGCCTGCCACACTTGGAAGGTGAATTTCAACAACAAAACCATGGTGCTAGGAGACTTATTTGTACCACAAGATTAGGGAACTATCTCGGAGGTCATCAAGGAATTAGATAACAAATTCCTAAACCCCCATCTCAAGTTGAAAGCAGAAATTGCTCTTCATAGCTATGAGCAAAGAGAGATGACAGTTTATGCCTACTTTGGAGGACTTGAATCCAAACTCATGGAAGCAGGATTGCCACCAGATGCACACAGAAGTTATCCATTCATTCACAGTATCCTTCGCCGCAACCTCTCTCAATTCCTTTGTGATCGTATTTTGCAACAGGAAAACCTGCCTACCACGTACTCAGAATAAAAGGTAGCAGCCAGGAAGTGGGAGCAACAAAATGAAGAACTTAATCTGGAAAGGAGGAGAGACAGACCCCCACCACAGAGACTGCCGCCGCCTCAGTACCAATGATATCAACCGCGTTATCAACAGAATCGAAATTACCCGCCACCACAGCATCAACAAACAGTACCATGTACAGAGACGCGAAGACCACAGTATATCCAACAACAATTATATTATACTCCACCACAGAGGCCGCCACCCCAGAATGCAGTTCATCCAAACACAGCAGGGACATTTGGAGGATCAGGTGTACCTATGGAGATTGGGAGTTCAAACACACAGAGACAATGTTGGCCCAACCCGAATATTATTTGTTACAATTGTGGCGAGCAAGGTCACATTGCTAGAAATTGTCCACATAAAAAGGTGGCAATACATTATATGGAAACAGAGGAAACCAAAGACACTCCCACTACATCATCATTGAAAGAAATTGAAGCACAATTTTCAGAATGGTCAGGAGTAAGCACAGACTCTCTGACCCATAATGTTGTATCTAACTCTTGTACCCTACCAATGACTGCAATAAAACGAGTCGATCAACATCTACGTGCTGTAACCAAAAACTACTCAAAGCCACATTTGCCGGAATGGTTGGCCAGACGCATCAAAGACCAGAAACCTGAAAGAGCGAGGGCTCTACTACGGAACTGGGCGCATAAAGACCATGTAACAACCAAGAGTGATTTACTCCAGCGCACACAGAACACACTATAAAGAAGATGAAGTTGGGGAGTGGTTACCCCTTAGGCTGCAGTGAGTTAGTTGGCATACAACAGGAGAACTCGCTGAGGAGTCACCTGGATCTATTGGGGTATATATACTACTACAGGTTTGTTTGTACATGTGTACTATACAGTTGATGGAGGCAGTGGCTGATGATGTCATAGGGCCTAGCCCGTATGGCCAGCTCCACTATGTGAGAGAGTTGAATCTAAAAATAAGAGAAAGGCAACGCGGCGCGAGAAAGGGGAAATGCCGCGTGGCACTATGTGTGAAAGCTAAAGTGTAAAGTTAAAGCAGAGAATGAAAAAAAGGGAAATATCCGGAAATTGTGTTATCGTAACAGACCACTACGAGCATATTACCCTGTAAGCGATACAGATGCTGAAGAATCACGACAAAGAGAATATTGTGGAACACATCCATGCTTATACCTCGCCACACAGACCCATGCCAAAACGCAGCCTCCATGTCATTTCTGAAGTTACTACCACAGACGACAGACAAACATTCACCGTACCTACCCTTATTGACTCCGGCTGCACCAACTCAGTTATTGACCAAAGCCTGATTGACAAGTATACCCTCAACACCACACTGCTCCCTGTCCCTCTTGACGCCACAGGAGACGATAGTTGATTCGAGGGAGACCGAGCGCAATTCGCCGAATGGTGGATCAAACTCCAGATTTGGGTCAAGGCGAACTGGGACGCGTTTGCCGATGACTTTGAGGTAGCCACTGCGGTGCTATCTCGACTAAAAGGACCTGTGGCGGGTCGATACGCCCAAGTAAGACTTCAGGAATGCTACACCGCGGGTGTGTGGCCTACCTGGGATGATCTCAAGAAGGAGATCAAAAAATACTTCAAACCACAAGCTGAGCGTGACTGGGCTCGGCAACAGATCTGTTTGTTCAAACAGGTAAACCTGAGGACAGACGCGCAGATTTAAAGGGGCCTGCTATAATTGCGGCCAAGAGGGACACATGTCCCGAGATTGCAGAAAAGGGGCGCAGGCCGCCCAACAAAAAAATAATAATAACCAAGGGCGCCAGGCGCGCCAATTAGAAACCGAAAAGCCGGACAATCGGCTTAACTCTTTAGCCGGTCATTTTTACGACGAAATCCGGGCCTTTTTCTACGACCAACAAGTCAACGAAATGAAGGCCCAGGGAAAAGCATTCGGAGCTTAGGTCACTTGGCTACCTTAGCTCCACCTCAAAATGAAGTAAACCACAACAAAGTGGCCCCTGCTCTGGGGTGTTGCACGAGCAATAACGGAATGACGGGGATGGCTCCCCAATTTGCAAATAAATTTCTATTTTTATTATCTGAAGCTTGTACCTGTATAAAGAAATGTAACTGTAATATTTATGATACTACCACTGCACCAGCGTCTCCCTTGGAGCGTGGCCCCGGCGAGACAAACACTAGGGTGCTTGATTCTGGTAAAACAAAAATAGAAAAACATGTATCATTCGAGATTTCCCCTTCTTCTTCTTCTTCTTCTTCGGAGCCACCCTTTCCCGAAATCCCAAGACGTGTGTTGATGCGCACATATTTATTCCAAAAGGAGATCCGTTTAGACGTTGGCGTGGAAAACCTTGCTAGGGGCAAAGTACACTCAACGAGCGCACTACTTGATTCAGGCGCTAATGGGATTTTTATAGATCAGGTCTGGGCGGAGCAAATTAGACTCCCCCTTGTAAAACTAGAAACATCTATTCCCATCTATAATGTTGACGGTACGCTTAACGCAGGTGGCTGTATTACACACAAATGTTCTTTTGTGGTCGAATACCAAGGACACAGAGAACGAGTCACTGCCAAAGCTACCCAACTAGGGAAGATTAATTTAATCTTAGGCTGGACCTGGCTATTTAAACACAATCCTGAGATCAACTGGCAGACAGGGGTTGTCACATTGTCACGTTGTCCACAGGAATGTGTAAACTTGGGTAAACCGAATCAGGTCCGTCACAATGAGCGTCTCGAAAGGTTAAACGCTAGTCACGTTTACGAGCTCAGATCTTTAGAAAAGATCGACGATGATGATGATGAGGTAAAACCTGAGGAAGATATTAAGAGGCTGGTACCTCCCGAGTACCACGACTTCTGGAAAGTCTTTTCGAAACACAAATCAGAGCGCTGCCCAGAGGCTAAGCCTTGGGACCATGCCATAGATTTGAAAGACACCTTCAAACCAAGGAAGGGACACATGATACCACTCTCTATTAAGAACAAAGCTTGAAGGAAGTGTCTAGCCACTTGCTGAGAGCAATCAGGGACTGGAACTAGAGTCCAATGTGAGTAACTTTATTATTAGAGAGTATGACAGGTATACAGTACCTAGAGTCCAATGTGAGTAACTAGAGAATAGGAAGCATTGGACTCTGCAGTACTGTCCGAAGTTTTGTAAACAAAGGTAAACAAAGCAGCCACAAAGGCAAAATAATAGAGAACACAATCAATAGTGAATGATAGAAGAATAGATAGAGAAAGGAATGAAAATATATAGGTAGCACAAAGGTGCAGAATCACCAAAACTAACACTCTCTGCTCCCGAAAGAGACAAGGTATCTAGCTTCATAGACGAACAACTAAGGAAGGGTTACATCAGATCTTCTAAAAGTCCTATGACATCCCCGGTGTTCTTCATTCCTAAAAAGGATGGTAAGAAGCGCATGATTATGGACTATCGTTACGTGAATGAGCACACGGTTAAAAATGCGTATCCGCTGCCTTTGATTAGTCAGTTAGTGGACAAATTGGCTGGCGCCAAGATCTTGACTAAGATGGATCTCAGATGGGGGTACAATAATGTACGAATCAAAAAGGAAGATGCTTGGAAGGCCGCGTTCACGTGCCACCAAGGATCTTTCGAACCCCTTGTTATGTTCTTTGGGTTGACCAATTAACCAGCGACCTTCCAGAGCATGATGAACGAGATCTTTGCGGATATGGAGAACTGTGTCGTCATTTACATTGACAATTTATTAATATTTACGAAGTCGGACGATGAGGCTGAGCACGACCAGATCGTGCAAGAAGTCCTTCGACGCTTACAGGAACGGGACCTATTCGTCAAACCCAAAAAATGTAACTTTAAAGTGAAGGAAGTAGACTTCCTCGGTATGATCATAGGCCAGAACGGAATCAGATGAACCCTGAGAAAGTTCAAGCTATTTTGGAATGGCCAGAACCTACTCGCGTCAAAGGAGTTAGGGCCTTCCTTGGCCTAGGCAATTTCTACTGAAGGTTTATCAAAGACTTCGCGAAAATCACGAGACCGTTGAACGATCTCACAAAACAGGACATTGTTTGGCATTGGGGCGCCAAAGAACAAGAAGCTTTTGATAAGCTTAAACAGGCATTTACAACAGCGCCCATATTGGCATTTCCTGAGTTAGACAAAGAGTTCCGGCTAGAAACTGACTCTTCTGACTTCGCCACTGGGGCTGTTTTATCAATCAAATGCCCTGACAATCTTTGGAGGCCTTGTGCCTATTTATCGCATAGTTTGTCGCCTACAGAGCGCAACTATCAAATTTATGACAAAGAGATGCTGGCCATCATTAGAGCTTTAAAGCACTGGCGGCACTACTTAGAAGGTGCTAGGCACCAATTTGAAATTTGGACCGATCATAAAAACCTAGAGTACTTCATGACGGCCCGAGACTTGAACCGAAGACAGGCCCGCTATGCGGTGTACTTGTCAAGGTTTAATTATAAATTAATTCATAAGCCTGGAAGCTCAATGGGGAAAGCGGACACTTTATCTAGAAGAGAGGACCATGCCAACGGCATTCAAGATGACAACAAAGGTGTCACCTTGATAGACCAATCAAGGGTCGCCAATGTTAGAATCGGGCAAGATTCTGATCTTCTAGAAGTCTTCAGGAAAGACATCTCCTCAGAGGAAAAGGCGCGCCTTGACGGCAATGAAAATTATTTATGGAAAGACGGGCTCTTTCATTTCAAAAACAAAATATATGTGCCTGAGTCCGCAAGGATCAAGGCAATAGATAGACATCACAACACTCCAGTGGCTGGGCACCCTGGATGGCAACGAACGATGGAGTTGATCTCCAGAAACTACATGTGGCCTGGCATGGTCAAAGACGTACAAGAATACGTAAAATCCTGTCTAAGATGCGCCATGGCCAAGAACTCTCACCAACCGCCGGCCGGTAAACTAATGCCGAACCCGATACCAGCTGGCCCCTGGCATGATATATTGGTGGACTTCACGACGGATCTGCCCGAGTCAAACTGGTACGATTCGGTAATGGTGGTAGTAGACCGCTTCTCCAAAGAAGTGGTATTCATACCCACCAATAAAACCATCACCGCCGCCGGTACGGCAGACTTATTTAAAAATTTTGTATGGTCCATCCATGGGTTACCAGAGACGGTAATCTCCGATAGAGGACCGCAATTCGCTAGCGAATTTACGAAAGAATTATGCCGGATGCTGGGCATCAAACCTAAATTATCAACGGCATTCCATCCGCAAACCAATGGACAAACGGAGAGACTCAACCAGGAGTTGAAACAATATCTCCGTATATTTATTAATGACAGGCAGACGGATTGGGCCAAGTGGCTGAAGATAGCCCAGTTCTCTTACAATATTAAACAGTCGTCGGCTACAGGCAAGGCACCATTCGAGGTTACTAGATCGTACCTCCCTAGAATGGGTGTAGAGCCTGGCAAAAGCAAGAACGAGGCTGCCGAGAACATGGCAAAAGACATGAAGTCTGTCCTAGACAAAACGCGCAAGGCGCTATTTAGAACTGCACAGCAGATGAAAGACAGGGCAGAGCGTAGACGCTCTAAGGCCCCTGACTACAAGGTTGGCGACCTGGTTTGGTTAGACACCGACCACTTAAAATTGAAAGACCGGCAGTCTAGAAAACTGACCGAAAAGTGGATTGGCCCTTACCGGATTAAGGAAGTCAAACCTAATGCGTTGGAGCTGGAACTCCCAAAAAGAATGAGGGTGGTACCCACGGTTAACATTAGCCGTGTGAAACCCTACAAGGGACCGCTGCCGGGACAGCGCGTAGACCGGCCCAGACCGGTAGTAGTCACCCAGGAAGGTGAAGAAGAGTTCGAAGTCGAACGAGTGGTAGATGCACGCTTGAAGCGTGGAAAATTAGAGTTCCTAGTCCTATGGAAGGGCTATGGAGACGAGGACAGAACGTGGGAACCAGAAACCCATCTGGAAAACTCCCGCAATGCTGTTTGCGAATTTTATTCCAAGAATCCCGCAGCTCCCAGGAAGCTTAGAGGCATGGATTTGAAACTTTGTAATTCTCTTTTCCAACCGATGCCCAAACATTTTACTACTACCTCCGGTATTTGGTCTCGCCTGGAAGTCGAGCCTTAGAAGGGGGGTAGTGTTACGATAACACAATTTCCGGACATCTCCTTTTCCTTTTATTCTCCACTTTAACTTTATACCTTAATTGCCACGCGGCACTTCCCTTTCTCGCACCGCGTTGCCTTCCTTTTATTTTTGGACTTAACTCTCTCACGCAGTGGAGCTGGCCATACGGGCTAGGCCCTATGACATCATCAAGCCACTGCCTTTATCAACTGTATAGTACACATGTACAAACAAACCTGTAGTAGTATATATACCCCAATAGATCCAGGAGACTCCTCAGCGAGTCCTCCTGTTGTATACCAACTAACTCACTGCAGCTCAAGGGGTAACCACTCCCCAAACTTCATCTTCACTTTAGTGTGTTTTGTGTGCGCCAGAGTAGATCACTCTTGGTTGTTACAGAAAGATAGGGGCTTTGTGATGAGTATAGACGAGCACTACCTTGCTAATTGTAGCACAAGGTAGGTTTGAGAACAACAAGATAACGGGGTGACAAGCTTCCCAGTGATAGCAGGCTCCTGATGCACAAACTGTAGTGCTCAGAAGGACTCTAATTGAAAGGGATGATAATCATTCTCAAAAGTGATGAGTGACGATGACAGCAGTTAACAGTGGTAACAATGGGAAGTGTTGTGACCACACTGGATCACAAGTAGCAGAGTAGTGAACTTGAGATTAGAGAAGAAGTCTGGATTGGAGTTCCTGTTCTTTACAAGGTAAAATACAGGGGTTTATATAGTAAAAGAAAAGTAGGCTATGCACAGTATAGCTGTGCAAAAAGAATGAGAACGAACATGAAGG